GAGATGCGCATTGTCGACTGTGTACCTTCGAAGAGAGTAACATTGTGGATCTGATGCTGAGTGCCGTATGCCCAGTCCGTGTCCGTGATGTTGTATGTGGGCTGCGTGCGACCTTGGTTGAGGTAAGGAGGGATGTAGACTTCGACGCGAAGTTCTCTGTATATATATCAGCGCCGTGGGTCCAAGACTACAAAGATGGATGAGCGCACTCAGGGAAGATGAAAGGTGGGTCGGGATTGGGGTCGCTACCGGACACCAGGACACGACCGTCAGGAAGAAGTATGGCCTCGTTATGGTATAGCCGTGCGATGGTGGTGGTGTTAAGGATAGAGATGCGTTGGTTGACGGGCTGAGTGGGATCATAGAGCAAAGCGGAGAAGTTGGGGTCCGAGGCGAGCCCGAAACCTGCGACGCCCTGTTGCGCGCCGTTCAGAATCATGAAGGTGCCGTCGGGCAGTGTGACGATAGCAGGCATCACGCGCTTTGACGGCTATGGAGTGGAGTACTTGAGCAGTGATATGAGACACAACGGGTCAGGTTACGCACCATGCGCTCAATCACCCACTGAGGGTTCGCGGCCTCTGGTTGAATAGACACGCAGTTGTCGAGAGCGATGCCGAAGTTCGAGCCGCCACAGACAAGAAGCGTAACCGGGTCGGTGTAGGGTGGATATTGGGGGAGCATGACGGTAGTGCCCTCCATAGGGTACGTCCGTCCGGCCAAGAAACTCGTGACCGAGCCGGGCATATTGGGCAAGACGACTGCGGTATCCAGTGTGTGCGGATCGAGAAGGCGGGCTTCGTTATAGTAGCCTGTATAGCGATCAGCGATCAACACTCGATCATCAATCAGGGCGAAGTGCACATACCGATGAAGATACGGCCACTGGGCATAACATGCAGGAAAGGATAGAGATTGTTGGGGTCCGTGCGGTTCAAATAGTCTGCGAGCATACTCATTAAACCACCAGGTCTCAAGCCTTACAAGCGCTGCACATACCCAAAAACTTTGTTCCCGAGCCGGGGATGGTGGGAAGGATCTCGAGGGTTGGGACAGGAGGACCGTTTGAGCCGTTCTCTCCTCCGACGATGAGGATAGATCCGTTGGACATCATCATCGCAGACGGGTACCAGCGAGGATCCTGTGAAGGCAAACCATATGTCAGGCCATCTGACATCCCCAAGAACATGTGCACTTACCTGCAACCTCAGAACACTGGAGTCTTCTTCCCAATCGTTCGTGCCGTTGACGCCAGGTTCACCGTCGGGAATATAAAGACGAACGCCATAGAGAGAATCGACAGACCATCCGCCAATACTGAGGATACGCGCGTCCTTGTCGGGGAGAACGAGAGCGCCGTTGCAGAACACATCGCTCTTGACCTTCATATATAACGTCAGACGATGATTGTGCGAATGCGCACGAGACACGTACGTGCATCTCACGCCAGGCTGTATTGAAGTCAGGCGCCAGACTGATATCAAGCTCGTACGCGCCGGTTGAGTTACTGAACTCAGAGGTCCCGAACTTCTCGAGGAACGAAACCTTGCCATTCTTGCCGAGCGTAGCCGTCAGAGGCGGAATGAGACCCGGAATGAAGTACTGAACGCAGTTTTAGCGCTGATATGGGATGGAAAGGGGTGCACGACACACCTCGTAGCGTCCGATGTTCTCAGGCTCGTGCCATACGTAGAGATCGCCATCCCACTCATAGAGAGATAGGCGTTGCGAACCGCCGCATCTGAACAGAACATGAGTCAGCGTGCGGTCCTAGCGCAGTGAGCCGGGGACTTACAGATGAATCGGATCGCCAGAGCAAGGGGCATTGCAATCAGTCTCAGGGGCCATCGTTCCCCCATTCTGAGCTATATCGGCCACATCACCGCACCAGCACTGAGAACCATAAGCAAATAAACCGCCAGAGATCTGCGCAACCGTACCTCATCGCCGAATTCCATACCCGCTGCCGGATAACCGAAGGCTGCGCATTGGGTGAGACAGGCTGTGGCACTGTTGTTGTTCGTATTAATAATCTGGTACGGGAATACGCGCTGGGCTCCAGGTTCCCTGAAAGCTGGCAATGAGCTACGTCATGGTTGAGACGAAAAAGGTGCATACGCCAAACATCCGACGTATTTGAACTGTCCTGGGAGAGAGGTGTTCTGAGTGACAGGCACAGGAAGCGCCGTTAGGTTCTTGGAGGAGGTGTAGATCGACATGCGATCTGGTCCACCACAGGCCTCTCTAGGGGCGAATAAGGACCAAAACTTAAGGCAGGCGCGATATGGACGTACGTCGAGTTTCCGCCGCAAGCGTTACTGCATGAGGATTCCGTACCCACGACGGCTCCATTGATGAGCTCTTGCCCACAAAACTGGACAAGGTGAGCGTCATGCCGAGGTTCGGATAGTCATGAGAGGTACAAGGTACTCACGCATTGAGTACTAAACTCCATGCCAGCGACCGTGTAGTTCTGGGAGACGCAGGATTCCACGCAACCTTCCACAGTGAGGGTAGCATTGTCGGGGAACTCTGTGGGGAGGATCCGGCCATGTGCATTGTCTCTATATACCAGGTGTCAGCCGTGGCCACTATACAGCAGGATCGTCGGCTTACACCCAGCAAGCGTTGTACGCCCATCCCGTCGGTAGACCGGTTGTGACCGGGAACAGCGGGGTACTCGCGCCACCTCCGTCCCCTCCGCCTCCAACCGGTTTGATTGGAGGAAGATTCGCGCCGGTATAGTTATAAACATTGAGCCGTGAAGGTCCTAGTTTGCGATGAGGCGAATGCTTGATACCGCAAACACTCTCACACACCTCCGCAGAACTCGCTTGAGTTGCCTGAACACGTCATAGAACAGTCCGTGAGTGGCGTGGATGTAGCCCCATTGCGTAGTTCAGTGTCGCAGTAGCATTCATCCGCGAACTCGGCGCCAGCCAAATGGTAGCCGAGAGCGAAACAGGCAGCCGTGCAACTCTGAATGCTGTTGTTAGACGAGCCGCCGGTGATGGCAGGAACGACGCTAAGAGAGCGAGAAGCTGTGGAGTCACTAGGTAGCGGTGAGAAGCCGGTACCAAACGCAACATAGAGACGCACTTATAGCAGCCCAAGGACACCCAAAGCCCGACACTCGGTGCGGTCACAGGCGCGGGCGGTGGCTGTTCGCCGGACCAATAGACGCTTAATCGTCCGCCTGCGCCACAGCTAATAGACCGCCGGTTAGCATGACGCGGAATTAAAGTAAAGAAGCACGCACGTCTCGGAAGCATTGCCAGTACACGGTGTGTTGCAGTCGGTCAGCGAAGCATTCGTGCCGCCGTTAGAGAACGTATCGCCGCAGTAACATTCCTAAGTAACGAAATGAGTGAAGTCCCTTGCAGGGAAGAGTGATACATACCTGAGCAAACTCGGTCCCAGCGTAGATGGCTGATTGCGCGTCGCAGAACCGCACACAGGACTCAATTGTCATACCCGTGGTATTGACAAACGAAGGTCCCGTGAGCGTGCGAGCGCCGGGATTGTCGCTGCACCGGCGCGCTCAGCAAAGGCAACGAGCGAAGCGACCGACAATACTCACGTATAGCATCCGATAGAGGTCCAATTGCCAGGAAGATCGGTCGGGATGACTTCAGAGGCTCGGGAATATAGGCCATGACGAGCGGGATGAATGTGGGAGGCAAGGACAATCTGCGCCCATTGAAGTCGTCAATCAAGGGACGGGTGGAAGCGCCGGTGATAACGCACACTCGAGGCGCAACTGAGGAGCAGGATCTTCGAGAAAAGGGATGGCGTCGCCATCTTGTATGAGCGAGCGGCACCCTGAGGAGAGGATAGCAGTCAGCGATCGATGTTTATATACGGCGTGCTTAAATGTGGGCTAATCCAGCGGAACATACTCGCATCCTTCCGATCCTCACTCAGGCCAAAACTGACTGAGGGACCGCTCGTGGCATCGACCCATAAATTCTCAAACATGAGGGTGGCAGCTCAGGGAGCCCGATCCAGCAGGCGTTTCGCCTTTTCCGACCGAACGCGCGCTTCGGGCGAATGTCTATCGAGATCCAGAGCAATACCAAAAGTAGATGGGATTGGATAGACAGGCGTCTTACGACATGAAGACGGAAAGCTCGGAGGGCTAAGGCCGTGTACAGTGAGAACGCCCGTCGGTTTGTATGTGTACTAAGTTCGACGAATGTCAATCCCCTACATAAATAATCAGCCGCCTGAAAGACAACATTGACGGCTTGGCATACTTCGAAATTGTGAGATCCGAACACCGAAGGTCGTCGCCGTCGCGAAGCTGGATGCTCGGAAACCGTCAATAGCGAAGTCTAAGGCAGTCCCGCGTTCGTCCATAAGTCGTCCATAAGAACAGTAGAGACTGCACTCGTGGAAAATGCGGTCCATATCTGCCACCGACCGAAATGATGTGAACACAAGTTCGATCAATAAGATTCTGGGTGAATGATTGTGGGACACGAACTATCGCGTTTTAGGTTGTCGCTAGAGCAAACACAGGGTGAGATGAGTGTATTCTAGACACAGTACGGCTTGTACCGCTCACTTGCATTCAATCGGGCCCCCATGCGAGCACGCGCTCGCACTTCAGCCGTGCATATGGGGTTGCTGACGCAGGCAAAGACCTCACTATTCCCGTCTACTGCATTCGCACCCCTCGGTCTAGCGTCTGTTGTCTTTCCGCAGACGATCAGCAAGCAGAATGAGAGGTATCAGAAGCAAACCCCTCGCCGTTTGGGCCGCCACCGCCGCCATGAGACCGTACAAGGTCAACTGTACAAAGCTGGTGCAGACTGTCAATCAGCTCAAGACCTGATATCAGAGGTGTATGAAGCACTGACTGATGTTAAGCATTGTCCGCACAATCACCTTTCGGAATCCTTGGTGACGCGGCTATCCGTTGAAGACTGTCGAGGGACACTGTCACCGGTGACAGACCCGGGTCGAAATGACATAGCGCCTATGCGGCCCGTTCAAGCGCTGAGGTAAGGCCCCAGGGGCGCTGCGTGAGACCTGAATCGCTGGTTTTGGCCATTGACTTGTTTATTCACAAAGGCGTGTTGACGTGGACCCATATACGCGACGCTGTGGCCCCATGGCCGTAATCCGTACCTATACTCTTGGAACTTGGTAAGACAAGCAGCTTCTGGAGATTGAAACCAAAGATACGCACTGTATAGCTCGGGGCTCTCAGCGTTTTCTCCGAGGGTGCTGAGGGCAGCAGTGTTGTTCCTGCGGCGAGAGCGCGTATGTTGGTCCTGAAGCAGGTACAGGAAGAGCGCTATCAGATCCGTGCTGAGAGGAATACGGCGCTCGGTGAAAAGAAGGCCTGTCGGTAGAGCAAGCGAGGTAAGGTTTTCAGCAAATGTTCTCAAAGAAGTGAACAAGGAGGCGACTTTACAGCCGGCAAGAGAGACGCCGCATGCACCTGCGACTGAGCATGACAAATGAGCTCGTCTGCCTAGCTTGCCTGTAGACACCATTTCGAGATAGTATGTGTACATGTGCGGGTTCTGAGAGGGAGAAGTGGCGAATACAAAATATCATGGGCGCCGCCATCTCACAGCCGTCCGAATGTCGGGGCGCCACCAGGACAATCAGCCCGTACGGACGCGTCCTACACTAACGCTCATCCTCGTCATTCTGATGCCTCTTCCCGGCGCTGCTGCAGGAAAGCAATACACTCTGAAGGTCCCGGAGGCGCGCGCCGGCGCAGGTGTATGACATCTAGTGTAAACTTCCAGCCGACGCCGTATTTCTGATGCAGCTTCACTTCTCGGATAGCTCTCCTCGTGAGAGTCGAGCGCGCGAAGGCATACGAGCGCCAGAAGGGAAAGACCCTGCATTGACGGGCTTCGAGAACTTGAACAGCGTGCAGCCGGCGAACCCGACCGGCGAGAACGGGAAGCGCCTCAAGCACGTATCCGCCCGGGCACATGTTGGTAGCCGCCGCAGACCATACGGTAAAGAATATGGTCCGCGCTATAGAAGCCACGAGCAGCCTGAACGAATGCGTAGTACTAGATGGATGTTCGTGTTTAGTCGTGCCCGCGCGTCGGCTGTTGGCGAAATACGCGGGCCGGCCCGGATCGGGCCGCCGGCCAATGCCTTTTTAACAGGTCCCCGCCTGTCCCCGCTCGGTCTTCGCCTTCCCAGAGAGGCGGCAGATAGACTTGCCTACTTGTCCAACAGCACTCCCTCGCTACGGCGTTCTCTTCGCAGAGCCTATAAGTGTACCGACCAATGAGGTTGTTCGGTACGATGAGCGGCACCCCGCAGCACAACCGTGGCTCTCCGCGGTTCACTCTGAGCCTCTGCTAACACGGCTCGGATGTCCGGCGGCTCGATTCATAGACCCATTGGACGTTGGGCAGGCTCTGGACCATGTGCATACAGTACTCCCTGTGCCTGTCTATGGCCGGACGGTCTACCAATCCCACGAGCTTCGTGGCGTCGGGTCTCGCAACTTTGAATAGCGTATCCGTACTGTGCGAGCGCATTGGCACAGGTCGCTGATTAACCATCCTCACATACCAATGGGTCTCTGTGTTTGCCCCGGAAGCATCTCATATAGCAAGTTACATGGGTGTTGCTATACTGCCAAAACCAGCTCAGAATGACAAGCTCGACCTGCAAGCGTCCAGCGAGTCTGAGCTCACCGAATGCTCGGTTCGCCTCAAATTGGACAATAGGGCGAAGATTAGAGCGAGACTATTAGTAGACATGAGTTCGAGAAGTCAGGAGTATAGAAGACTGATGGTGCGAGCAGCCATGCTGAACAATACAAACACTTGCCCCTCCAGTCTTCTGCTGCGAGCCTGCTGCAACGAACTCTGCACCCACAACAGGCAAGCGCCACCACGTACAAGAATAACCACACTTACGCACTGCCGAAGACATTCAATAAAGACATCGACGATCAGCATCCAGATCGGGCGACCGCGAACCCATCGCCCAAGGCTCCTATCGGACTGCAAGGTATGTATATCGTGAGTGATGTACTATACATGTAAGCACGACACCGGAAGAAGCTCTACGAATGCCTCCCGGCGGCACCCTCAGCCCAGCACCATTACAAACGCACTTCACACCGCACACGCACACACACACGACGGAACACGATCAGGAGATTAGCTATATACAGTAAGGGGTACGACAAGGGGAGGAGAGGATGAGATTCAGCAGGGGCGAGGGTTGTTGTGGAGGGGTGTTGGACGAACGACGATAGACCCAAAAGATTGAGAAGACAAGAAAACAAATTGGTCATGGAGACGCGATTGAGACGGGATTACTAGTAGTATGGCACAGGGAAGCGAAGCAAGGGAGAGCATGGTGGACGATACGAGACTGAACAAGACGATACGAGGACGAGATAAGATGAGACTGGTCATGCAGCGAGGGATTGTAAGAGGGAGCATGGTATCCTTTCCATAGCAACGAGACGGAGAAGGTCGAATGAGGAATTAAGTTGAGGCGGGGCGCAGATCACTGTCTGCGTCTGGATAGAACGATCTTGCGGATGTCGGCGAGATCTACTCGGAGATCCATTGACGATTGTCAAAGAGCAAGGCGATGTTCGGCGGGATGTTGCCGATATAAGGTGATCAGCCGAGGAGAGGCGCGAGCCCGTTGTACCCGCTCGAGTCGTACTCGGACGGCTCCGACTTCTCAGACGTCGCCTGATAGGCCAGGGGGTGTGATCCTTGTGGCTGCCCACTTGCATACGTCTGCGAATGAACGTAGGAAGGAGGCTGTTGAAGCCCTTCCTGAGCCCACTGTTGGCCTCCACCCATCGTCGCCGACTGACGCGATGCTTGCTGCTGTTGCTGGTACGGCGAATAAAACGCCGTTGGCGAGTGGGCATAACCAGCTGAATGTGTCGGAGACGTATCGCCCACGGAACCCTCGTACGGCTGGTTCGTAGGTGGCGTGAACGACGATCCGCCAGCGCTCGTGGGCATACCCGAATACTCATGCGCAGATGCCGGCGCCGAAGCAGGGTACGTCGGAGGGATCTGCATGGGGGGCAGCGTCTGAGCCGCGTGACCCGCCGAGAACGAGGGAGCCATGTTCTGGTAGGTGTACTGCGGCGCCATCGTGTAGATTTGACCCGGATAAGGGTGCGTGGTTACCGCGCTGGGAGCATGACCGCCCCCGAAGCCCATCTGCTCGACCGCGTAACTGGAGTGAGCAGGCGAGAACGGGCCAGGCTCATCTGAGGCGGGCGATGTGGGCTGGGAGCGAGAGGTTTTGATGCGCCGCTTTACTTTCGCGGGCGAGCCGTAGGGCTCATAGCGTTTGGCGCTCCTTCCCAGCGTAGCTCCGACATCCGTGGGCTCTGAGAGCAGAGGGAGTGCGCCGGAGCTGCCACTGAGGGCTGCCGTGAGCGCGTGCGGCGATGTTTCGAGTTCATCAGCCTCGCCACGGTATCGCGGCTTCCCGTCCCATCCGACCTCGAGCTTGGGCGGATTGCGGAAATTGACCTTGTCTAGGAAATCCGCGCTGATGTCGAGCGCGGCAAGCTCCGGATAGGATGAAGGGGGCCGCAAGCGTCCGGCCTCGACGTCTTCGACCTTGTAATACGAGATCAGATGCTGCGGGACGCCGTTGATGGTGAGTGAGAAGGTCTGTTCGCGAACAAAGAGCGCGTCAGAATGGGACGCAACGTGCCCAAAACGGCAGATGGGCGTACTTTCTTGACCATGCCTCCTGGCTTGAACTTGTCGTCATTGGTGAGGCTTCCCACCAGGCTGCGTTCACGTTGCCTGTCGATCCCGAGCCGTGACGTCTCTGCGCGGGGCCGGCTGAGGGAGTGCACGTCGCCACCGTTGTTGGTGATGGATTTTGATGTAGAGCTGCCTTCGCCGCTCGCATTCGATGCTGCTGATGCCGATGCAGGGGGCTCTTCCGCCGCCGCATCAGAGCGGGAAGATTTGTGGCCGGCGCCACGCTTGTCGGTCTCGCGGTAAAGCAGGAAGTTGCCGAGTATCCGACTTGCACTCCAGAAGAGGCCGTCTGTCCAACGACGGATGCCTGATTCCTCCTCGTCAAACACGAATACGGATCCTGATGTGATCATCTTGCGCTCAGAGTCGACCAAACGGCGGGTGACGCGGGGAATGAGCCCGCGTCTGGCGGCCTCGAGTATGATGAGCGCATCGCCTGTAGTTTCTATCCAGCCCGACCAAGGGGGTTCGTGGTGGGTCGGGGTGGGCGCTTGTTGGGTCGGCGATTGGGACGAGGAGGACGGAGGAGGGTACTTTGGCGCGTCCGAACGCGGGGCCATGGAAAGCGTCGACGCTGGAGCTGGAACATCGCACGCGTAAAGGTTGAGAACAAGGTTGAAGGGGCGAGAGAAAGTTTGAGGGCTGACCCGTAGCTAAGCTCGAGATCTATCGTTGTGGAGATACCCGTTTTAAAGGTCCGCCTGGAAATAAACTTTCTCGTGTGTTCAAGTCGGTTCCCCGGGCTTCCCCCTGCTGTTCGTCAGCTCCCTGCGCTGGTGCTTGTAATACTTGGATATCCCAGAGACGCGTCGGGCGTCAGTCAGTGGGTTGGGGCAGCCGGGCGCGATGGGGGTCCTGAAGTGAGGCGAGGCAGGTTAGAGTTCTTCGAAGAACATCGCCCGCGTGGCTCCTCGGTTTTTGTCGTCCGTTTCCCGCCGCAAGCAGCCGTTCTGAACTCTCACGCACGAGATGATGCGTTCTGTACAACTTTGCCACCTACGTACCCGTCGCGCGAGCACTCGACGGACGCGGAGCGCAGGCTGTGGACCATGGACGCCAAATTGAGACGGCGCAGAAAGGCGTTGATGCATGATGGCGGGCACAGGAAGCGTTCATTTCATCTCAGGGATGTTTGAGATTAGAGAGTCAACGGTTTCCCTTTTTCGCGTTTGTTTCCGTTGATGGACGTGTCATTGATGCGAAGAGGAACGTTCAGACGACGGGATTGACGGCAGAGTCGGCGTATGGACGCTTGTGGGCGCGGGCATAAACGCGCTACACGTGAGACATCGCGTCGCGCGCCTCTCTCTTTCGCTCCGTACGACCACCACGACCGTGAAACCCGCGCAGTCCTGTGCATAGCCGCACTCGGCTCTGAACTCCCTGACTACTTGGAGGCTCACCACTCTACTCTATAAATATGGACGCGGCACTTGCCGTACCACGCGAGCGACGCGGCGGCGGGCGTGGTGGTCCCCGCGGCGGCGTGCACAAGAATCGGGTCTGGAGGCCCGATGGAGCGCGTGGGAATACTCCTGGCAGTGGTGCGGATGCTGCACGGTGGGAGCGCGGTGGACACTCTGGTGGTGCTGGGCGAAGTCGGGGACGCGGGCGAGGGAACAGGACTCTGCGCAATCCACCCCGCGACGCATTTGGCGGCAGTTCGGAAAATGCCGGAGAGAGCGCGGACGAGGGGATGTACGGCAGTGCGGACGAAGGCTCATACCTCAGCGGCGACGAAGGCTCGGTCGCCGCCGGAGAGGACTATGAGTTTCCGCCCATAGTCGAGCCTGAGCTCAAGACGCAGGAGGAAAAGGACGAATTCTGGCGCAAGGTTCGTTTGAGTATCGGCATAGCGAGAGTATGATATACTGACAGTTATTGTCTACAGCTGGAGAAATTGCGCGAGGAGGACAGAGAAAAGGCGATCCAAGAAGGAAGGATGACCAGGCCGGGCACGCAAATAGCCTATTCGGACCGCATCGACATTCTCGGGACATGTCCTGACATGTGTCCTCGCTTCGAGCGTTACCGTCGCGACCGGCAGGTTTACACACACAAGCTCGAATGGGTACGTGCTTGCTGTGTCCACCGCTTGACTATTCACAAGATGCGTTTTTCAGTATCCTGGTACCAGAATCATGGATCACAACAGGGCTGTCAAGATGTACGAGCGTGGAGCAGGTGACAAATGGCAGCCTTCCGATATTCGCCCTGCGATTGTGTGCAAGGTAGTGTCTTCTGTATATATTCTGTCTCTGAACGCCAACTCATCGAGTGTCCCAGAGAACGCTCGATTACCTCTTTCACAAGATCCTACCTGAAGCCGGACACTGGCCAGCACACTCGTTCCTGAGGGACCGCACACGCTCAATACGACAAGACTTACTATTGCAACCCACTCACTCGCGCGAAATCATTGTCGAATGCCATGAACGGGTCGTTCGATACCACATTCTCAGCACACACTACCTCAAAGCCAAGATCGACGTCTTCTCGGAGTCCGAACTAGTCATTGCGTGTGAGAATGTGACATCTTCCATTGAGAAACAAATCTGACGTGCAACATAATACAGGCCTGAGCAAACTCAGAGAGCTATACGCGGGTTTTGCGTCAGACGGAGGACCTCCATACGAACCCATCGACTCGCCGAACATACTGGAGATGTATATCTACTGGCGCCTCTGGAGTATCCGCGAAGCCGACAAGACTCAAGCGCACACTATTCGCCAAGTCCCTGTCCCCGACCGAATCAAGCAAGATCCCGTATATCAAGTCGTCGAGCGCTTTGCGACGACTATAGTCCGCGCTACGGGTGAGATGGGAAAGAAGACGGCATTGAAGATTGACCAGGAGGCGATGAGCATATTCCACGAGCTCGTGGCGATTCTGCAGGCACAGACACATGCTATCATCGCGTTTCTCGTCGCGTGCACTTTCGAGAGGGAGTTTGGATCGGAGAAGGTCGGAGACTTCGATCATCTACGACAAGGGATGAGCCTGCCATACCTGATCGACGGGCCCAACGCCCACTCCTACGACCGCTGGGAACACCAAAACGGCATCACGGACCTCAACAAGCCAGGTGGGGAAGAGTACGCTCCGGCTGGTAACGTCAAGACTGCCAAAGCTGAGAACGCGTTGACTATGTCAGCACCGTTGGGCGGGGAGAACGCTCTATCTGCCGCTGCCCCCTTGGCTTCGACACCTACACCTGCGCCTGTAGTCACTCCATCTCCTGCGCCGACTCCTGCGCCACCTCCCGCACTCGCCTCGGCACCGACGCCTGCACCAGCTACATCGTCGCTCTTCGCCACCTCAACTTCAGCGAACGCGTTCGGCTCCACGAGTGCTTCCACTGCACCATCGCCCTTCAGCGCTCCGTCACAGTCGTCCGCTCCCAACGCATTCGCCAATCTCACAAGCCAACCTAATCCGTTTGGCGGAAAGACATCTGCGTTTACGTCATCAGCCTTCAGCAAGCCGAGCAACTCACCGTTCAGTAGCTCTGGGTCGGGGTCACCCTTCGCTTCCGGCAGCGGTCAAAATGGCTTGAGTAGGACCACAAGCGCATTTGGCAAAACATCCACCTCAGCATTTGCCACGGCACCCTCAGAACCCCCTGCGCCTCAACAACCGTCAGAACCCGCTGCAATGCCCAAGACGAACGGCATCTTCTCGACGCCTTTGACGGGAGTCCCGTTCGCACCACCTGCGGCAACTCCGGCGCCGGCTAAGGGCATATTCTCCACGCCTTTACCTACGGCTCCGTCTCAATCAGTCCCTGTACCGGCGCCTGTGGCACCTAGCTTTCCTTCCTCCTCCCAGCCCATGCCATCATCGCTATTCGGCACCTCGGCGCTTAATCCTCAGGCGCCGGCGTTCGCACCCAAGGCTGCCCCACCAACGAGCATATCTACTACGCTACCTACACAACCACAAGAAGACGAACCCATGTCTGTTCCAACACCAACGTCAACGACCTCGCAACGACCCCTCCTTACACGCTTAACGACCTCCCTACCCTCCACATCTTCGCTCGAAACCGCAAAACCGAACGGCTCGATATTCCCCAAACCACCACATCCAGCCCCACAAGCGGGGCCGATCGCAGGACCTGCCATATCCGCGCCCGTACCGAAGCTGCCCAGTCCTATAGCACCGTCACCCTCTCTGCAACAACCACCAGCGCCTAGGATGGACCTGTTGTCACTTCCGCCTACACCAACGGCTACGGGCTACGAGAGTCCCATCAAGACCAAACCACTGTCACTATTCGGCAATGCGTCGTTCAACTCGTCAACTGCGTCGCTCAACGATGGTATCCTCAGCCCACTGATGCTATCGGGCCCGTCTGTCGCACGCTCATCATTCTCGGCTGGTGCGGGTCCTGTGTCGACGCCGACACAAAGCAAAGGGATCCAGCAGAGCCTGTCAAGAAGACCGTCGGTCGCGGATTCGCCGCTGAAGAATGCAGTGGCAAGATCATCTGTCGAGACGGCTTCCACGTCAGCGGGCCCTTCCATCCCTGCACCATCCTTCACAGTCGGTGCCACCCCCACATCGCGCGACAAGGGCAAGCAGAAAGCAGCTCCACAACTTGCGGATGATGAAGAGGACCCGATCTTCGTTTCCCGCGCGGACGCTCTGTTCATGGCTCGTCCTTTCCACGCATGGAAGACCAAGTCCGACTACGCGCGTGCGGTCAAGCGCAGCGCCGAATACAGGACGAACATGGCTACAAGTATGAGTGCGCCTGTGTTGGGGGCCAGGAAACGTGTGCAGAGCCAGAGTGTGGAGAAGGAGAAGGATGTGGACATGAAGGACGTGAGGAGGGTTAGGAGAAGAAAGAGTGCGCGGTTTGTGCAGCCGAGGACGGATGAGGAGCTGGCAGCGCGATTCCAGGAGAACAGCGAGCAGAACAAACGGCGCTGGGAGTCCGGAACCTTCTTGCGCGCTTTGCGCAGTCATATCGGCGAGCAGCCGTTTGACTGGGCGCTCTGGTTGTCCGTCAATGACAACGACTCTGAGGAGGCGACGGCGACTTGGGTGCAGAAGAAGTTCGATGTACCAGACTCAGGAGCGTGGCGCGATGCGAATGTGTTCAGTGTGCCGCTCACTCCACATGCTGAAGCCGCGTCGCCTGGTCTCATCGTCTTCGAGTGTACTCCTGCGAATGGCGTGGACGACATCGAGAAGCGCTACCGAGCGTTGGACGATTACGCACGCTTCAAGGGCATCCTGAAGTCCTTGCCGGAAGATCGGCATTTCATTCCGGCATTGCTGCTTGTGATTTGGGATAGCGGAGTGGTACCAGACGACCTTAACAAGGAGGTGAGGCCGTACCGCACTTGCTAGAAGTAACAACACTCATGCTCGTGTGTAGATGCTTTCCGCAGTGAATAGTGGTGTCCTCCGATCCTACGCCGTATTCTCCCTGACCGCGTCTACGGACGATCTTGACGAACGCTTCACTCGTCTTTTGGACGGCCTTAACCTTGACACAGTCGGCGGCCTTGTCGAGATGTTCTCAGCACAAGGTGAGCACACTGCACGGCCCTGCTTGTGCCTGTCATTCTCTAACAACCTCAAAGAGCTTCTTGAGGAGTTCCTGGCGCCGTGCAAAGAGTACGCGGGAGACTGCGTGGCTCGGTTCATCGGCGAGGCAGAAGGTGGGCGTCACTTCGCCGCGATCATCGTGCCTTGCGCTAACGCAGATGCAGGCGACGTGGGCGTGCTTACCCAAGTCATTCAGACTGTGGTTGATCTGTTGAACCGAGTCTCGCGTCAATACACGACGCATGTCGATGGGCGCAAACTCGAAGACGCCCTGCCCCCTTTTGCCGCTAGTGTAAGGTCAACCAGGTACGAAGCCCACAAGCCTGAATGGCTTCCCTCACTGACGCACCAATTGCCTCAGTGCCCTTTACGACGTAGTGTATTCGTGGGTCGAGAGTCCGGCCCTGCGCGTCTACTCACAAGAGTGCCGTGCCGAGCTGGGTGCCTCGAGAGTCGCGGGAGAAGGTACGGAACAATACGACCGTTATCACCGTTTACGACGTGCCGACAATAAGCTTGCACTGGCAGATTTCCCGGCCGAGCGTTTCATGGCCTATCTGTTCGACCTCGCGTCGGCGCGCGTACTGTCAATAGTCTCAGCTGAGATGGACCGCATCTACACCGCGACACATCGCGATCTCGACGGTATCAAGCATGATGTCGATGCCGAAGTCGCACAGGCCGCCGAGCGCTTGCGTCGCGTGTTCGCGTTTATCCCGCGGTCGAAGAGACGCTCACCGGAAGAGGACGAAGAGCGGCTTGCGTACGTTCCCCTACCGTTGTTGTGCCGCAAGACGATTTCCTGACCTAGGACATCTTTCTGCAGCTCTGAAACGTCACGCGCGACTAAGAAAGCCCGAATGTCCTTCACCGACGATGAGGTTCGCGCGAGCGAGAATGGGGTTGTGAACGGGATCAACGGCCAGGTGCATACATCCGGGGGAAGCCCTCCGCCGCCCTCGCAGACACCTTCACCCGCGTCATCGTTCCGTTCTATTGCCGATGAGAGCAGACCGCCTATAACGGCTTCAATGCTTCGTGCCCTCGCTCAGAATGTGCTCAAGAAGAACAAGCGCAGCTGAGTAGAGACGTAGTAGGGTTTGCTTCTTCGGCACAGCTGTTGTCCTCGCAGTCTCATTCACGGACATTTTGTATATCCCTCATTATTGTCGCTGTGCTATCTACTGCAAGTTGCTTACTTCATCGCTACATACACCGTAATGTCCCTCAGAATCACGTCCATCGCAGATACGCCCACAAGTCAAATGCAAGATGTGTGTATTCCAACACGGAAACACCATACGGTTACGGCGACTACTGTTAAAAGCCTGCGTGCCCGCTTCAAAGTCCCAAGGTAGATATGAGACAGAATGGAGGATAGGGAAAGGTATGCGTATATGGAGTCTAGGGATGAGTCGCGCGTGTACTATTCGGTCAAGGACGTTCAAGAGATGATACAAGTAGATCTAAAGGGGCATAGTAAAGACGGTGTCCGATGGAAGATAAGTGTCCGAGAACCCAACGTAAATGATAGTCTAGTACGAGAACATGAGAAGCCAAGGGTTGAGCACGACGGGGAAGAGAATGTGGCTGCCGGCGACGATGGCGAGCGGGAAGATCACGGCCCAGTCGACACCCGGGATTTGCCAGCCCTGCGGCACGAGGTCCGAGGCAAGGATGGCGATGGCAGCGAAAGAAGCGAAGCTGATGACGAATGCCAGCCAGAAACGACGCAAGATGCGCGGAACTTCAATCTGGGGCAATCGTGAGCACAGTCCCATGAATGTGACGGGAATCGCAACGTACGAAGAAGTTAGAGCGCTCTACTTCTTTCTTCGTCGCACCCCACGTGATGTTGTACGAAAACAAATGCGCCAACAACGCCTGGGACAGATGGATGGAGAGACCACCGAAGAAGAAGAAGCTGCATAGCTGCATGAGTACAGAATGCTTCAGGGAGCAAGGGGTTACACTCACAAGAAGGGGACCCACGTCAAGTTCTCAAGAAGCGACGCCCAGATGCTGCGAAGGCCAAGCCGATACTCGAGCAGCGTATACCCGACGTTGCCGGCAATGGGGAAGACAAAAGTACAGGCGAGCCAGATCTCGAAGGAGTGCTCGTAGAAACCGTCTGTCGAGAAGGAGAAGCCAAGGATCAAGTAGTTGAGGACAGAGAGCGTGAAGCCGGCCGCGATGCCGTCTACGAGAGCCAGTCAGATCTTGTCGGGAAGCGCAAGTTTCGAAGAGCGCTCACAATAAGAAAACATGTATGACATCATGCTGAGCTTGTAGTGAACGGGCGCGCTGGTCCACAGGAACGTTCGCAACTGCTTGGTGATCGGTCCATAACGCCACCAGTCCTTGAGCGGGTGGAAGATCAGTTCGCTACATCCGTACGAGTACTTCTGCCAGCGGTTAAGCTCATCATCGACTGTCCTGCAACGCACATGAGATAGGATACCCGTCCACAGAAACATGATCACGTACAATGACACGCCCTCTTTGAACCCGCCCTCGGAGTATGTAGCCCAACGAATGATGTAGTCTTTCAGCTGAAGGCGGAGCGCCATGTCGAAGTCCTGCAAGACAAGTCAACACCGCTTACAGGAAAGCTGGCAACGCGATATTCACCTCGGAGACGGCCGTCTCACACCAGATCTATACAAACGCAAGTCAGATACGAGGCTTTAAAAATTATAAAGGGCACGTACCTTCATCTTGCCATTGTCACCTTCATCTGCAAACGCAGCGTCTTGCAGAGCCGACCACCGGAGGAAAGCATTGTGTCCAACGAACGGCGCGACCTCGCCGTTAGCACAGCCGATGGAGATGCATTTGTTGATGCGGCGCGTGAAGTGGGTAATGCCATTCTCGAAGTAGTGATGCGCGACTTGCATGACGTCTGGATCGGGAAGTTTAGCGCCGATGAGGAGTATGAGTGGGGGATGTTAACTGACCGGACTCGTGCTGGATGATGGCGACTTCGGGACACTCTGCGAGTTCACGCACAGCGTCGCGGAAGCAATCCTGCACGCGACTATTCAGTATGAAGCGATGAAAGACGGAGTGTGAACGCAGTACCTCGGGAACGATCGTGTCGGAGTCAACAATCAGGATAACCTCGCCGACACGAAGAGCCCGAGCGTTCTTAGCCCACGGACGGAAACGCCTTCCGCTCTCCTCGTAGATCTCTTCGATGGCAAGCTCGAGCGCCTTCTCTTCCAAAGCGCCATCATCGTCCGGGAGTTCTTCGCCGCGCTCGAGCTTCTCTGTGCGATCCAACTCGAGCTTCTTGATATGTTCCTCCATCTTCAGCGAGAGGGATAAGCCGTAGTTCATGTTCGAGGCCTTCTTGAAGCGACCACGACGCTTGAATCCACCCTCCGAGTCGTCATGCTTGGGACGAGCGACCCAGCCGATGCCGTGCTCGGCATAGAAGGTCGTGCGAGCAAGCCGGGCCTCCTCCGAGATAAGCTGCAAACCGTCATCGTGCACGAGGATGCTCTGTGTGAGGTATGAGCGCGATATTTCGAGTAGAAGATGCAGGAACGTCCGCACCGAGGTGCCTCCTTGACGAGCATAAGTTTGCATGGCCTTCTTGATAGACAGCACTGATGGAGTACTGCGTGTGCACGCGTGAATACAAGAAGAACCGACACAACTATCTCCTTACATGGTTTCCTCGAGACTCTCCTTGTACACTGGGAGCTCGATGGTGACATGCGGCAGGCGGCGGTCGACGTCCTTGTTCGGACCCGGCTTGACGGCAGAATAATACTTGGAATTTTCATGATACTGCGCGACAGGACCGATTCTGTAGAGATAAAAGATGAGTTCGATATCCTCTATAGTCAGGATTGATGTGAGCGTACACGAAGCTGACGTTTGTGATGATCTGTAGACTAAAGAACTACAGACATGATTGTTAGCGGTATCCATTGGAAGAATGGCGCCACCCACAAGTGCCACACAGAATAAGAAAGGAGTTGTGACAAGCAGGGCGAAACGAGTGTAGTCGTGATCCAGACGCCACTCCTGGAGGAGTACACTGACACCGGAGGCGATGAAGACTAGCAGCGGTGTTAGAGTGATGGGATGCTTCCGGACATGATGTTCGCGTACATAAAGATAAACCAGCCCCGAGGCCACCATAGACTGGCGCGAACAAGCGGATCGGACGGGACGCGGCACCCGACGCGTTCTCTGGATCACCCTGAGCTTGATCGGCCTTGTCGGAGATACGCCAGCCCCAGAGCGAGCTCTTGGTCTTGGTCTTGGGCTTCGAAACTTCGGTGGGAACTACTTCCTTCGTAGCAGGGATAGGCGTTAGAAGCTCGGCAGAGTTAGGGTCGCGAAGGTGAACATCGGACGCAGAGGTGATAGGCGTTCCGATGACAGGTGAGGCTGCTTCCGGGGTGACGCTGCCCGCCGTGGGAATCCCGTTGGCGGAAACACGGATAGACCACACGAGCTGGATGAGCTTCTCGTCGAAGTCCTTCGTCAGCGGGATGATCGTGTTGAGTGAATCGGACCAGACGACCAAGACGCGTTCGTCGCGCTGTATGTATCTTCGTATCAGCAGATCGACATGTCAAGGAGAGAGACGTACGATGAAGGCGCCACACTGCTCCTTATCCGCTCGAGGAAGGTCTAGCATCGTGTCTAGAACTTGGATACGTGTCTCGTCATCGAGATAGATGGCATCAGCATCCTCGGTTCTATACGACGATAAGCCCGGTGCTTGACCGAAAGAAGATTAAAATGACGCACACGCTGCCCAGAGCCACGTGGATGGCGGCGCTACGAATCTGGAAGGGGAGAAGGAAGGTAAGCATAAGTGGCAGACCATAGTGAGAAGAAGAACACAGACCTTGACAGCAACGAGCGGATTGAGGGTCCGCACAGCAAGCTCGAAGGGCTCGAGGAAGCGATTCTCGTAAGGGAAAACACGGAATTGACCCGCAGAAATACGTAGACAAACGCCAGCGTGGATGTTCTCCGCAGACGGCTTGAACCAAGCATCTCCTTGAGTCTACACGACGAGGTCAGAACACGAAGGTTTGGTCAAGAGAGTGGGTGCACTGACTTGCTTGAAGATATGGTGAAGCAGTGCGTCGTACGCGTCGTAGTCCATGATTGGCAGCGTCCGAGGGCGACAGGCTCAGAGGCGGGGACAGGGCCGAGGAAGGAGCGCAACTGCGAGAGGGCGAGTTGTGGGCCGCACTTGTCTTTGGGTGACTGTTGTCTGGTATATGAAGGATTTGCGGGCTTGGAACGGCGCCTGAATGCGCGCAGGAGAAGTCAACAAACAGACCGACACACAGATCAGGAATGTCCCTGGTGAGAAACAAACAAGGCTGGAACAGCGTCAGCATACTGTATGGAAATGTGCGGGCCATGCACACCAGATAGCGGCGCGTATACATCGCATGAGCCGAACTGTCGGTGTGTCCATCGTAGGGGCAACAAATCGGCAGAGAAGCAAGAGATTCGCCGACTAGGCGCTGGCCCGCGGGCGCCTTTCCTCAGGGACAGCCTCGTTCGGACGGTGTGAGAGAAGAAGACGATCGGGATATCGAGTGCGCGTGCCTTTTGACTCGCTTGAATCGAAACTGCTGGCTTTTTGGCAAGGAAAGGTAGACCGACGGAGCACTTTATGGATCCGATGCAGCTGCGAATATCGGCCTGTGAGCCTAATTGCTTCAGCTTCACGTCCTCTGCGTGCATGCATGGACAGCCGAAGAAGGTCCAAGCAGTATCTGACCCTAGGCCGGAAGCAGACGTTCGACGTAGCCGCGTGGCTTGATTGAGAACAGCGAATGAACGCCACAAGAGATGACAAGTATGTCATGCATTCGGCAAAACGCATGTCTAATGTAACTTGCGGTTTTACGCACTGGACGTGTGATGACAGTCTGTCCGTTCACACTGATACGCAATGGGAAAACATACGTCTTCTACGAAGTCTATGACTACTGCCCTTGACAGTTCACGGCGTCGGAGAGCGCCCCTCCGGCCAACATTGTAGGAATGTCAGGATGCCCTCCTGAATTCATTAATAGCACCAGTGGGAATATGTTCTGTATTGGGGCGCCGGTATTGATCGGGAGTCCTCGTGCGACGGAAAAGGATAGGCCGCCGAGCAGAGAGAGCCTACGAAGTCGGCTTCAGCGAAGGTGTGTACTTTCGGATGAGTGGAACGTACCAAGGGCATAGATCGTGTGTAGTGTCTCCTCCGAAAGATAGCACCGGAGCCGCCAGCCGCCACCGATTCTGAGGTACCTAGGAACGAAAGCCAACCTGGCGGTCAGCATGGAAGTAGAAGTCGTTGAAGGCGCTGTCAACGCCCTGTATAGCGTACATCATGCTCAGTTCACGTCTGGCGTCGATTTTGCGTATCTAGTGAGGCTGTCAGGGGATTGATAAGTGACTTATTCAGTACATGCGGCAGACTCAACATACGGAGGCACAATCCGAGCATACTGTGTGAAGCGTTTGAGAGCGGCGCCGGGCAGCTTGGAGTCTCGACTTGAGCAACCTTAATCCCGATGTCGTTCGCCGGCAGCGCCGCAACTAGGCTATCTAAGCGCTACAAACATAAGTTCTCGACCTGTCAAAACATGTACAGGCCGCATCTTCTCGGATATTTGACAGTGCATTCAAAATTCTGAAGATCATCGACGCCGGTGTTGGACGAAGGAAAGAGGCAAGCCATCGACGCGCGGGCAGCTCTCCGACGTCGCCGGGAGCCAATAGGAAACGCCGCGCGGCACGCCGGAACTCACTGTCTTCCATCGTGGCTCTCACCTCTCTCACTCGTCATGACTGGCCCAAAAGAACGCGTCTTGCTGTACAAACTCCTACTCCTAGGCCATTCATTTGGGTTGTGCATTATGCTGAGGATCATACTTGGTGACACTACCCATCGCCTCAGGCAAAATCCCCACTCCGTCCTCTCCCAGCAACCACGACAGCGATGAAGTTGTTGTTTGATATGGTGTGCCTCTGCGAGAGCGCTCTTGATACCCCTTGCTTCATTGAAATGTCCCGACAAGGACGGCTCATTCCCTGACTTCGTGATTTGACGCCTCATCCGGCACCCTCAGGCTCGGTACTTGACGTTCCTTGGGAAGCAATGGTACACATGCCGCGTCTTTGTGCTGCCCCTGGACATCTAGATGGCCTGCAGCGTTCTCGCTCAGATAGCTCTGGTTTTGCCGGATGCGGAGACACAGTGGGCGATCTGTTCACAGCTGTTGAATCGGCCTCGAGGTGGCGATAAGACTCTTCTTGTCCGAGCCGTGATGTTGGAAGACCGGCAAGACACGCGAGGGGTTTGGTTCAATTGGCAGGGCCGCTCCCGGTAAGAGAAACTCGTTCCAGTCTTTCCGTCATAAAAAGAGTCTGAACTGTTTTCTGCGTTCAGTGGTTGCACCCCAGCAAGCAATGTCGGACCCTTCTCCTCCAGCGTCTATCCTCGTCGAGTCCCGCCCAGCGACTTCGTCTACTGAGGATGGCTCTGCGCTCTCTCCGCCTCGTCCGCGCTTCGTAGAAGGTCTCGCGTCCCCTCCGACACCCATGGACGATGACGGTCCTCAGCGCCCTCGCGGCAAGCCTTCTCGTGGCGAACTGCGCGCGCAACACCGTACTATGAGCAACCTCAGCAAGCTATCGGGAACGTCCACACCTCGTACACCTACTAGCGGCTCCAATCCCTTCGCCACACCCACCGGCGAAGCCAGCAACCCTTTCAGCCCGCCAGCAAGTGTGGTCTCTTTCAGTTCCGAGGCCGAGACCAACGCCGGTGCCAGCTATCCATTCCCGCATGCGGACCGGACTCGCGCCAGCGTTCAGAGCAGCACACACAGCAGTGCTATCGATATTCGCTCACGTCCCATGAGCGTTCGCGAGGCCTTCGACGCCCCACCTAGTCGGCCCAACATATTCACTCAACCCAGTACCTTGACTTCGCGTGGCGCTATGAGGCGTGCCCGGCCTACTTCTACGATGATCGACGCTGACAAGCCTATCCCAAAGCCGTGGGCATCTGGCAAAGATACCCGCTCCAAGGTCTCATACTTCCTCACTTACGCTATGTGAGTCTCCAGTATAGCTTGGCATCACAGCGGTCTGACGGCTTTGCGTAGGATTCTGGTTGGAGTTGGGCTCGGGGTCGTTCGCTGTTACACCGGCTGGACCGGCGTGCGGCTAGTCGGCAACGTCTGCCTTGTCATGGACGAGCAGTTTACCACGGGCGAGCTAGACTCCAGCATCTGGGCGCATGAGGTCGACCTCGGCGGTTTCGGGTAAACTTTGTCGGCGTTGATTCTTCTTACCCATACTCACCCACACCGGCGTAGGAACGGCGAGTTCGAGATGACGACAGCTTCACCGAACAACACTTTCATCAAGAACAACCAGCTATACCTGCTCCCTACTCTCACCTCGGATGTTATCGGCACGGACGCAGTCTTCAATGGCCACACGTTCAACCTTACGGGATGCACGAACTCGAATCTCACAGCCTGTGGTGTAGTCAGCAACAGTACCGCCGGCACCGTCATCAACCCCGTCATGAGCTCCCGCCTTACGACCAAGGGCAAGAAGAACATTCAGTACGGCCGCGTCGAGGTCCGCGCGAAGCTTCCCAAGGGGTGCGCAGTCTGTCATTGCTTCCTACGCGCTTTCTGCTGACTATCTCCATTCATAGTGACTGGGTATGTCTGCTTCCATAGCGCCACCAAGCTCTCCTTGTCAGAGTACTCATCTCGGCTACAGATGTGGCCCGCTATCTGGATGCTTCCCGAGAATGATACATACGGTGCTTGGCCGTTGAGTGGTGTGTCCGCTTTGAACACTCGGTGTTGTGTTCATCCGAAGCGCTCATCTGAAACTCGTAGGCGAGATCGACATCATGGAGGCGCGCGGCAATGACCCGTCCTATCCCGCACAGTGCGTCTTCACCTCTCTGCTATCTCCAACTCTTCGTATTGATCCATCGTCTGAAGGGGAAGCAACTACGTCCGCGGATCTCTCAACTGGGGTCCCATCTCGTGGCTCAACGAGGTCTCCAAGACATATGGCTGGTGGACTCAGCGTCGCAGCTCATACGCCGACGATTTCCACACCTATGCACTTGAGTGGACCCCCGACTTCTTGTGAGTTAGCCTCGGCGTGAGATTCATGGCGGCGAAAATGACTCATGACTATCTTCAGGCGCGTTTATGTTGATAGCCGCCTTCAGCACATGTTGGACTTGCGCTTCAACATTCCCTTCTTCGAACGTGGTGACTTCCCGGCTTCTGTATCCAACGGCTCGCAGGAGATTATACTTCCCAATCCGTGGGTCGGTCGCGGCAACTCTGCGCCGTTTGACAGGCGTACGTGCTACCATTGCTTCTGAAACCTCGAATCACGAAGCTCAACGCTTCCTTCAGCATTTTACCTCATCCTCGATGTGGCGGTTGGTGGCACAAACGGTTGGTTCCCCGACGGGGCAGGCAGTAAGCCCTGGCTCAACGGTGCTATCACTGCCATGGAGGACTTCGCTCGCGCTCAGGATAAGTGGTATGCCACTTGGCCTGAGAACGAGGATGACCGCGCTATGCGCATGTGCGTGGCTAATCCCATTCCTTATCTTAGTTCGCTTTCTGACCGCCCCCCTCCAGTGATTCCGTCAAGATGTGGCAAACTTGTTAGTCCCAGCGTCTGTCTCTCTTTCTGTCTCGAGCGTTATCTGGCATGTTCTCCTTTCATCAACTCCCTGGGTTTGCTCTGGTTTCTCTCGTCGGACTTATTTCGGCGTTTTGCCGTTGGGTAGATCTGTAGTCACTACACATAGACGGACATGTAGTCGTATACCTTGCCTCATATCATCATGATCTATTGTGCACATTACTTTCGTGCTCACTAGCGCGATCGGGTCGGTCAAGAGCGCCATGTATGTATGCAAGTGCCTGTCGTCGACTGCAACGCAGTATGAGCAATACATGTTGGTGCGTATCACTGATTCTGTTAATGATACGATTCTATACTCACAGCTTGAAAGTCAGATGCTTGAACTAGGCTCAGAAGAACGCTACGCATTGCTACGGGCCCACGACATGGCCTACGACGAAGAGACATAATCTTTGAGGTTACCGGGGTGACATAACATTGCCTGATTCTCACTCGCCGGCACGCTATTGGTCGACATCATGCGTGAAATGCCAAACATCAAATCCGTCATATCTCGTCAAGGTGTTATGTTCAGTGCAAACTATGTAGGTTCAATGTATGAATGATATGGAGCCATCGCCACCGCCGAGTGCACCGACACCAGCCGGTAAGATGCTACTTTCGACCCAACAGCGCCACTGCCTACCTTGGTAAGCGATACTATAGGACAATGTATAAAGATCAGTCCCAGCTCTCAGATCGGCGGGACCTCCACGACAGATGCCACAGTGCACGGCAGCCGTCGAGTTCACGCGGAAACCGACCTGAGCTTGCGTCGCTGTTATGCACTTCGCCGACTTGCGGTCGAGCGAGGAGATAGAAGGGGTGGCAGTGGTGGTGGAGTGGGCGCGAAGGAGATTGGGTTGAAGGCCGGCGGGTCCTGTAGGAGCTTGCGCGAAGGCCGCGGCTGCCGGGCAAATCCTCCATCATCACATCCATCGGACGTAGAAGAGTGTTCTCAGCAGATAGAGAGGTGGATGGGAAAGCGAAAAGCGATCGGCGATGCGTCCAGAGTGTGGAGTGTCGTGGAGCTCTCAATGTTCAGCGCGGACGGATCTTCGTAACGACGGGGCCCGCGGCGGTCGACCACAGCGCGAGGGAAGTTCGAGAGATGCCGAATAGTTATTGAGAATCGCCACCGGCAAGGCAATGAAAGCCGCGCACGCAGTGGATAGAACGTTCAAACACACGGCGTGGGTCTTGTCGCCGGTGACGGGGACCAGGTAGCGGACATCGTTGACCTGCCATGATGCACCTTAATGCACCTTGTTGTCGAGCCAGGATCTATTGCTTCATCAATTGACAGTGCCGTACAGACATCGTGCGATGAAGACAGTCTTAGCCATCTCCTTCTGTAAAGACTCAATGAAACGATATATTTGTGTGATCCAAAGGCATCGACAGAGAGGCAGAGCCTAGCTTGGCAGACGCAAAACCTCACCAAAACAAACACAACGCACTTCATGCATTGATATACGACGTCGTAAGCGGGCCGCGACGGTCGGATACTTCGCTAGTAGCGAGAACAGCATGGCCGCGACCCGCGATTGCCCGTGGATGGCGGCCGCGTTCTCGACGTGATAAGCACACGACGCGCAGCCCCGACAGAGCATGACAAAGTCAAGCAGATGCATGGCAAGCTAAAGAACAGCTGTATGGTGCCAAAGTGTGTACTGTGACTATGGATGATCCATTGCGGGCCGCCCCCGGGCCGTTATGCAGTACACGCGCCGGACCACCACCCGTGCAGCGTGTCCATGAAAGATCGGATGAAACGTTGGAAAAAGCCAATGCTTGAGCATGAGCTTGTACTTGTAGACGACGGTACGTGACGTCGATGCCCCAAATCTCGTCGAAGGCTAGCAAGTGAAGGTACAATGCAGGGGCAAAAGCTACGTCGCGCGTTGGTCGCGAGACCGCCTGCGGCACTCCCGGCAAATGCCGCTAACTTCCAATATTCGACCGCGGTGTCATCGTCGTTGTCCGCGTTCTTTCATCTCCGCGACTACCCACCACCCCAAACATAGGCTTCGCTGTTTCCAAAAGAGACACTTATGATGTCTTCTACCTTTGTGCCGAATGCTCTTGCCGTCACACCTGAGATTACACAAGAATCCGAGAAGAAATGCCCCATTCATGCAAGCTGACAGCCTTCGCTTCCATTGCCTAGTAAACCGCCGGCACTCTTTCTTTTCCTTGTTCGCACCCTCATCTGGGCACCTCAGAGAAATGCGGCTACTTCCTCCCACTCTTGCAGGGAGGTAAACAACTGATTCTGCTGATTCCGCGTCGTTACCCACTCATTCAGAGCACCCCGCTAACTCGCTTCGGAAGATGTACCACACGATGCCCGTATCTTCAGTCGGCTCGCTCAACTGCGCAGGGCTCTCACACGCTTTATTGACGAAGACACATAATCTCCTCGCGAGACTTCACGAGACAGTACGCCAGCTCTTTATCTCCACTCGAGTCCGGCTGGCTTCTATCACTGACCCGAGCCAGATACAAGACACGTTTTTTTCATCGTTTAGTGCCGGCCTTTCCCATCGTGTCATGAGGCAGCACACGGCCAGCATCAGCATCTTCTAGTCCAAATCAGATACAGCAACAGTGTGCTGCAGCGTTCTCATAGCATGGCGTTCTACCTCCGACATAGCGCAAGCCAAGGCGCAATCCGCAAGGTCGACCGAACTTCTGCACGAATCGACCCTGAATGACGACTCGGCGTTTCTTTGAATATGCACAGGAACTCTTGACGCGCGTAAGGATCTCGATCTACGCTCTCAGGGATGAGAAACTTGTGGAGTTTTACGAGAAGTTCGCGTGCGTGGAGAGATGGGATCCGGAATGAGGCGCTGCCGGAAGACAAGATCGGAGAGGTGAGCATCTGAGTTTTACCTGTGCTGCTTGATAGTCGCTGACTTGTGGGGTTAGCATAGCTGGAAGCTCAGGAGAATAGTTGCTTCAAGCTGCTTGTCCTCGAAAGAGAGAAAGAGGCCCACGCCGGTGGTGCTTAGGCGGATGAGGACGCCATTTCGACCGGAGCCGCAGCGCGCGGCCGCACTCACAGAAGATCATCGTGTTGTCTTGGCCGCGAGCGTACGCCGGAGTTCGTGCGCAAGATGTTGCCTCGAGTACACACGTACCATAGCGAGGCGTCAACGGTGAAGCGCTGAAGTCGATGCCGTCCTACTTTCAGGAACTCCCACCTATACCATATGTACCTCATACAATTATGGATTGCGGTCATTGACTGGCTCAATGAACAAGACAGCGATACAGAATCAACGGCGCGGGGCAGGACACGTTTAGGAGAGTCGTCACGGCGTCAATGAGCCAGTACCTCCTCCCGTCGAATGCAACGATGCAGAGGACGCCCGCGACCTCCGCCGTTCTCCCGTCCAACCGCGACGAAACACCAGAGTGTGTGCGTAGGATCATGTCGCGCGTGAACGCGTGAACTACGCTTGAGACCTTTGTGGAGCGCGGATATGTATAGGTCGCGCTTTGAAGCTGGTGATCCTTTCAATTGGAAGTGGTGTACCTTTCGTATGAAGGGCAACCCTCACACAAAGCTTAAGACACTGGAGCAATGCTAGGATACCCCGATGCCACTGCCCGCCTTTGTCCGCGTTGAGTACTTGAAGGCGTTCAGCGCGCCCTCGAACCGCACAACACCGTCCCTCCCTCTGTATCTTTCGCGTCCGTCCACTATCGCAACTGATGAAACCTGAACATGTCGACGATTCCCGTCCCACGTCGGCCTCTCCTCGCCAGAGCGGGATGCCCCAGGATGTACACGAAGACATGGATACGTCACCCGAAGCCGTGCAAACTGATACTGTCAGGGACCTGAAGCCTTCGTCGGCTCAGGCGGTGCTTGCTGCAAATGCGGTGACAGATGTGGTCGACAATAACCCGGTGAGCACCGATGCCTGCTCTTCCCCTGGTTGTTCGGAACCTTGACGCTTCTCTGCTAGCTTACCGCGGATGAGATGAGAGCTGAAGCCATTCGATGGGTATGCACATGCAGCCTTGCTTTACCAGAGAGCAAGTCTGTTGACCGACCCCATATACAGATGGAAGAGAGCCGTTCGGCGATGTGGGCGCAGATAATGGCGCTCAGTCGTAGGCCATCCAACACCCTCGAGGCGATTAATCCCAAGACGCGGTGCCCAGCTCCTGCTCAGGAGCCAGAAGCCACGGAGGCATCGTCCGTAGTCGACTGCAGTGACCACGGTACCATGCCAGACCTGGTGTAGATCCCCGAACACCAGACCGGTCGCCGTCGTGCGCATGCTGGCCATTCGCCGAGACACCAAACCGTGGCCAGACATCTGAGCTTGGGTGGAAGGATGACAATGTCGTGTAGAGAATCGGTCTTGAACTTATGCAAAGGAGTGGCACTGCGATCGCGATTGCTTTATATTGGACAATACGATCCGAGCAATGTTTACGGATGAATGAGACCACGAGTGTAGTCTAGCCATGTAAGATCTTGAAGAGTGCACAGTGATGATGCGCATCGATCAGCGTGCATCCATGAGAAGGCGCTTCCTTTCTTCTCTCACCTTTGCGCTTTCATGCTGCATCACCTTGAGGCTACTCCGGACAAACCCTATGCCACCCGTCTTTGTCACTAAACAGTTCTTGAACGCGCCTAGCGTTCCTTTGGCATACACTTCACTCTTCCCCCATCTCCATGTATCGAGCGACCTTATTCTCGCAGCTCACGAGGCTTCAACGCGACGATTCGGTCCCCGCGTCGGCATCCTGTTCATGCCACCGATGCGACCCGCCTCAAGATAGTCTCGGCCATTCGTCGACGCTACCAGAGACTAGCCATTCTGCCACTGATGATGTTAGTGAGCAAGTTGAGGATGAAGATGAGGACGAGGATGAAGAGGATATGGCACTGTACGCGGTAAGTCGCAGGCTGGACGCTCGCATCTTGCGCAACTGGAGCTCAATCGAACGGCCTCGGCAGAGCCTGTCTGAGAGGTTCATGAAGCAGAGACGTGAAGAGAGAGAAAAGGCCATTGCAGACGGATGGGATCCGGATTCAACGGTATGGTGTCGCAATACCCCTGCATAGTGTGGCTGACCGAACTCTTGAATACAGCAGTATCAGTTATTCAGATTGCAAAAGATGTGGGGTATCGTGGGAGCGCCTGTACTGAACTCACTCGGTCTTACCGAGCGCGAGCGCGACTCGGGGCTCGAATGGATGCGTGAATTCGGGAGCCTCGACTTCGATAATGACGTGGACGACTCGAGCAAGCTCGAGTGGTACGAGAACATCGAAGCGGTGGGCATCTTGCCCGAAGAAGATTGGAGCGACAACGACTCAATGCCGAGCCTGGGTGATCTCGATGAGGATCTAGTCCGCCGCCGTCGGTGTGCGCCCGCCCGTCGTAAGCGCCACCAACGTCGCGGTCAGACACCTGAGTTTGTGCGAAGGATGACGGTATTGCGCTGGGATCGGTCTTGAGCGCTCGAGTCCGGCCGGAGATGGTGGCGTTCACGGCCAAGGAACAAGGAACGGACGGAGCGCGCGTAGCGGGAGAAGGTTGGATTATATTCCGTGGTCGTCGGCAGTGGTATATTGTGGCGGTTGGTATCTGTGCGATATGTGGTTAGCTGGGAGTGCCTGTACAGGATTCCGATGTAGTCTATCGAACCTTGATATGAGTGAGACAGATGCACGTTTGTACGTAGAAGGACCTGGATACCCGCTCCCGCAGGCTAGAGGCGTCAGTATGATACAGACCCTTCGTGCCACAGCAAGTATGAGCGCTCTGGACGGCCCCTCTTCCCGAAGAGGGATTGACGTCAAGTCAGTTATGGGTAAAACACATTCGCATATTCGTACTAGGCATAGGGGATCGAGATAGATAGAAACAGGCATAGATCGGTTTCATTCAGTCAGGGATACCGTTTGAGACGAAGGCACATAGGGTAGACACGACGAGCATAAGGCAAAGCTCAAGCTCGTCCATAAACGCTATGAGTGTTCCAGCCGGAGCCAAGGGTCCTACGTAAGCCAGAAAATGCGCTCGACATGTCGAGTCGCCACTCGTTCGGCACGCGAACAGGTACGCGTGCGAACATTCCGCATAGTGGCGGATGGGCGGATCGCGCTGGGCGTCCGCGTGAAACGTGGAGGTCCGCGAAGACCATCTAGGGTCCGACCTCTGGTCGATGAAGTAGTTGCTGGTCCATCTGTGCGTCATGTGAGAAACGTGCGTAGGAAGATATCCAAGTTCGATTGGTTTACCTGTAGACTCGTGATGTAGCGTTCCCGATTGTAGCGCCTACGGCTCGAGCTTCTCGCCGCGCGCGAGTACTCGGATAGCCCGGCTGGGCTGCGCAACGCTGTCCATCATAGCCTTCACGGCAGGCGGGCGCTCGACGAGCGGGCGCGTCTTCTCGGCTGTGTCGGGCGCCGTGACGATGCGACGGCGGGGCGGTCCGCGTTGGGTGTTCGGGCGCGATTCTTCCTCCGACGATGAGTGGCGGCGATTACCGTTCGCAGTTCCGTTTCCGTAAGTAGGAGCGTGTCCGTTCGTGTAGGGTCCAGGTTCAGCAGAGGGCTCGACCGGGTGCACGGTCAGACCCGCGCGGCGGGCCCAGTAGCTGACGAGCACACCGGTCGCGCGCGGCTCGTGCTTGTTCGCCTGAGGAACTGGGAGCGGAACGGGAGAATCGCCCGTGTTGGGCGGCGAAGGTGCCCGAGGAAGTACGGGTGCATGAGCCAAAGTCGCGAATATGACCTTCGGTTTCTTTTCGTCGACCTTGCCGGTCTCTGTGGCCTCGTACTGAGCGCAACAAATTGTGCGGCGGAGCCACTCGGGTGCGGGCTGGACGGTCTCGCCTTCGGGAGAAGCCGCGAGATTGATCGAATCCCAGAGTACAAATGCATTGTCCTGCTGTACGCGCATCCGCGGGTTGACGCCGACTTGGGCCTCCAGAGCGCGGGAGGCGGCGCGAGCACGCTGGGCGAGAACAGATGTACCCTTCTTCAGAAGATCGAGTGTGTTGAGAGCTGTAGATGTATTCGAGTTAGCAAACAGATACATCAGATAGTAGTGAAATATGCGAACCTTCGAGAGGGACGATGATGATCTCCTCGCGCCCCTCGCGGCACCACTTCTTCACTTGGCCCAGCGCATGGATCAGGACACTGGCATCGACTACCACAATATCCGCATCCTTCTCGTTCCTCTCCTGCCTGGCGGGCGTGAATCCTCCGCCGCGCACAGCGATCTTGGGCCCACGCCCATTATAGTTGTTGTTATTCGTGTTCGGCGGACGCCGGCCATTGTTGCGGCCGCGCGGAGCATAGCCGCTGCGGGCGTCGACCGTCTTCTCGAGCTGCTCGACCTGGTGCGCGAGAAAGGCGGCGCCGAGGGAGCGAGACATTGCGATCTTGCCGGGCGTCATCGCGGGCGGCGGCGGCGGGGAAGCGACCTTGGTGTCGGCCATGGTGGTCTTGGGCAGAGATTGTTGTCTGGCCTGGGGCTGTGGGCGCGTGTGTGACTGCCGCGGGAGTAGGCGGTTCAGGGGCAGCTGACTGCACCGATCCGCAGTAAGCCTCTCTCTTTATATATTCCTTCCTCCAACCACAGCCTCTATTCGTCCTATTATGTTCTGTAGGACCACACACCACTGAGCATCGCATACCGCCAGCTACGCTCTTTGTCAGAGGCTATGACCGCCTTCTGGGGCTTTCCGTGGATTGAGCACCGCTCGCGTGGCTGTGCGGCATCGTGTTCTCAGGCTCAGACTGCGAGCCTCATGGCAGCTGCCACGAAGTCGAGCCCATAGCATCTTCCTGCGCCACTACTTACTTCGCTGCAACTTCCATCTCCGCTGCATTGGAGGCCATGTACTTGTTGCGGCCGCGTCTTCATTCAGAGAGTCTCGAACTCGTACTCGACGCGGCGCTAATATTATCGTCTTTGCCGTCAGGCACGCAAGAGAAGCCGAATACATTATGATTATGCAGTATTTTTCACGCAGAACCTCAGTAGCCCCTACTCGCGCTCACACGTTATCCGTAGCTCGCACCTCTACACCCCTTCATGATCCCCTGGCACAACATGGTGTTTTCTGCCGCATGGCTTTACACCAGCTTATCCGCTTCCGCGAGTCGTCCTGATCGATCAATGGCTGGACTGGGCGCTATAAAGTCTGGCGGTCGGCACCCACTCCCGAACCTCACCCTCTTCCCGCCATGCTGGTCTTCGTAGGCGTCGTTCCAACCAATGCGGAGCGTCAAGAAGAAACCGAACGTCTGTGCGGCAAACTGCTCTACCAAGCCGAACCCACAATCACACCACACGACCTCTTCTGCGCTGGCTACAAGTTCACGTCCGTCAGTCAACCATCAGGGTCCTGGTACGAGGTTGGTCGACGCTTCGTCCGCAAACGGAGGGGAATTAGGTCCCCAGAGGTGCTTGTCTACACCGACGCTTCGTGCTGGAACCCCGGCACCGATTATGCCACAGCAGAATGCATTGTCGCCTATGAACCTATGCGCGACGCACCGGAGCACTTCAACGAGGATCACTCATTCATGGACATCGCGCACAAGCACAAGGTCAACTTACCGGACCGGACGTTCGATAGCGCGCACACTTATGTCCGGCCTACAAGTAACCGCGCCAAATTGTACGCGGCAATCCTCGCGCTGAACAAGTGTTCATGGCATCTGGAGGGTTGGGCAACAGTGGTCATTGCCGGCGACTTGGAGTACGTTGTCAACGGGATCACTGATTGGGTGTGGCGGTGGCGGGAGAATGGGTGGAGGAGGGCCGATGGGCAGCCGGTTCTGAACGTCGACCTTTGGGAGTTCTTGCTCGGTCGTGTCCTCAATCTTCAAGAACAAGGCGTTGCCGTCAAGTTCTGGAAAGTCCCGCATGTGAAGACCTGACAAGTCGGACGAACTATAAAGTCATCGAATTGTCTAGTCGACGATCTTGATCCTTAACTACAACGAACTGCTGTGTATTGTCCCCGATTACTGTTGAAATATATTTGCATGTCATATCTGAGCGAAAGGCTTCCTCATGGATCCAACTCTTCGCCACTCACCTCAACGTATAATGGAATAGGATGCCAATCCGTGTCCCGCCTACTGCGACGGCATCGCTCGCGTCGCTGTGGTTGATTGTCACGAGGCTCGTGACGTGTGGCGCTGCTTCTCTGAAGCTGCTTGGCCCCGTACACTCACCATGCGCCATATATGACTACCCCTCTCACGCCATGACTTGTCCTTGGAACCTGAGGATCAGATCACAGCCGTTCCCTCTACTGGACCTAGCACGTGCATTGTCACATATGACATGTAGTGCACGTCAGATCACGGGGCCGTTTCCACGCTATCGCCTGGCGTGACTACCTGTGACGCTGTAGAGCACGTGCCGAGCTATACAGTATCCTTGACACTGATTGAATGCGTGAGTCAGCTCTTGGCCGGCGCCCGACCCTTGGACGTACTGTATAAAGCAGCCCGCTGGCATCCTGATCCCGCACATCCATCCATCCACAGCCCCGAGTGGCCATGGTCAAAGGAGATCATCTACGCGGTACCTTGCTTTACCAAGCCGGTCCAGACATCACACCCCACGACTTGTTCTACGCGCCTCACATCCACACCATGGACGATAAAACCGGAAACCGAACGGAGATAGGACGTCGATTCGTTCGCCAGCGACGCCCTTTTCAAGACGTTAGCGAGCGTCTAGTCTACACGGACGGATCGTGTACGCGCAACGGCCGCGAGGACGCCACCGGACACAGCATTGTTGCATATGAACCGAAGCTCGACGCCCCGGTGTACCTCACCACCAAGCGCTCATTGATGGATATGGCGGTCACCCGCTCGCACACGCTGCCTGACCAAACGCTCTATGGACGTCTGCGGTACATCCGCCCCTCGAGCAATCGCGCCAAGCTCTATGCCACGATTCTGGCGCTGCAAGCCTGCCCATGGGCAAAGGAGGGTGGGAAAACGCTTGTGGTCGCCGGAGATCTGAAGTACGTCGTGCGAGGCATTACAGAGTGGGTGTGGAGATGGCGCGAAAACGGGTGGATAAAGTCGGACGGGGATCGGGTGAAGAACGTCGACCTTTGGGAGTTGCTCCTTGAGCGCATCCTGGAGCTCTACGAACAAGGTGTCACTGTCAAGTTTTGGAAGGTCCCTCGGGTGAAGAGCGCTTGAGCAGCGACCAGCGAACACCCGATCCCCCAATCCACACGTGACCCCCAGCCTTACACCGGTCCCCTCCGTACCTCCCCGACCAGTCTCCCAACTTATACTCGACCAATGACGCGCTGGCTACGAACTTCCTTCATAACACATGACCAGGAACGTCCCTTCCTCATGGTACCATTCTCATTCGCCATCCCTTCACCGAGGCCAAAGGGAAGCACCTAGGGCCGAACCATCTACCCGTCCAACCCACTATGGCACCTCATGCTCTACTCTGTACTGCCCCAGCCTATGCCTATTGCCTCGCTCTGGGCTCTGGGACCGTTCTTCACGTGAGCACTAGTTCATGGTGCGAACCCGGGTCGCGCGAAGAGGTGGCGAGGACCACATCCATGCGAATGCTGGCTGCAACGTTGCACCCGAACTTCGCACGATGTACCCATTGATCTCGCCGAGCGCTCACGTATCCTGTGGACATCGGTTTCAATACATGCTCCCGGAGGTCCACGCGTTCGTGTGCTCGTGCACAGATGTCAACTTTGCGCCACTGCCCTCACTCTTGTTGCACTCTCTTGTCGAGTTTGGGAAAGCTCTTACGACTGTGGGACGTTCAGATCAGACACTTGCAATCCTGTTACTGCTAGCGACCTTTCATGTCTTATAGATTTTGCCCGTGGCTGTACTTAGAATACTGGCAAATAAACTCGTGTTGCACCCCACCTCTTTGCTTCAATTCTATGGAAAAGTCCCTCCTATACGCCCTTGCTAGGATTTCCTTCGGCCACATTCACATCGCGCGAGCAAACCTCTTCCCCATGAACTCCATGAATCCGGTCTAGACAAAAAGGATTCAGTGCTCAACAACTTGTCTACTTCAAGGACGCGCTCTCTCACCTCATTCCAAGTCTTCTTCCAACTTTCCCTCGCCTGGTTGTCGCGCCAGTACGCGACGAGCCTCGCGAAACGCTCGCTTTCAAAGATCTCCTTATAGGTCTCCGGGCCAACGCCGGTCTCCCACGATCCCAAGTCGCCCTTTAAAGCCACCTCCGCCCGCCCAAGGAACGGCGCCACGCTCGCATCGGCGATGGACCACTCCCCCACAGCGAACCCCGTCTCAGGCAGCAGGCTCTGAACGGCCTCCAATCCGGATATGAATTCGTCCTTAGGCCCATGGCGCTGGTGAAACGCCGCCCAGGACTTCATCAGCGTGCTGTTGACCTTCTCGATGAAGAAGCGCGCTTTCGCTCGCTGCACAGGATCGTTGGGAAGAAGATTGGCGCGGGGGTAAATGTCGGCGAGGAACTCAAGCAGGACGCAAGATTCGGTCAACTTGACGGAGTCCGGTGAGGGTTGGTCGGCTGGCACGCGCGGGCCGCCGTACGCGATGGCAGGGATTTGCTATGGCCGTGCGCGTCAATTATTGGCGCAGAGTGTGATAGAATGACATGCTTTGTACCTTTGTAAGCGGGTTGCCCGTCGTTGTAAACCACTCAGGCTTGTTCTTCAGGTCAATGAATGCTATCGCGGGCTCTACGCCCGCTTCAGCGAAAGTGATCTCAACCTTGAAAACCGTCGTGTCAATGGCATCCTCTCGGTATCATTCGGAATGCCACTTACGCGATGAGCCCATGCGCTTGTCTATGTGCATATTGTCAGCTGAGCCTGATTGGCGCTGTGCGATATCCACGCACCCTGTTCGTGTTCGTGTAGAAAGCGATGTACTCGTCTGCCATGCTTAGGATGGTGCTTCATTCTGTGGGACTCGACGTACTTGTACCGAATTCAGCGTCTATGTATAGTTGTTGGATGACTACGCGCTGACTGTAGCCATGGGTGCTGATTATGAAACGAGGTCTGCAATAGGCAATGGATGTGCCAACCTTGAAACGCAAGGGCCGAATGTCATCATGTCCACATGTTTATCGAAGCACCTCCGACTCTCATGGCAATCGTTACTTATGTACATGCAGGGTTTCACCAGTGTCCACTGCGTCCGCTCATTGCGCTACCGCGCGTATCAGGCAGCCGTCGGACCCTCTGTGTTGGCTTATAACTTCTTCCTGTAGTAGCCGATGAAGCTCGCCTATACCGACTCATTAGCTCCGAAAGAATGCTCGTAGGTTGGATCCCACCTCATCCCAGGTTCGTTGCCAGCTTTCTCTGGCTTCGATGTCCCTCCAGTATCTCGATAATCGCTCAAAGTGCTCCCCGTAGAAGATGTCCTTGTGCATCTTCGACCCGACTCCTTTCTCCCACGATCCCAGATCCTCGCGGAGAACCGCTTCCACTCTCCCGAGGCCCGGTGCGATGCTAGCGTCCGCAATCGACCACTCGCCCACCGCAAACCCTGTCTCTGGAAGCAGACTCTGCAGCGCCTCGAACCCTTCGATCAGGGCTTCTGTCGATGCTGGGTTCTTGAGGAAGGCGATCCACGAGGAATTGAGCAAAGCAGTTGCTTTTCCGATGAAGAAACGCGCTTTGGCGCGTTGTACAGCATCCGTAGGAAGAAGCTTGGCGGATGGGTAGATGTCGGCGAGGAACTCAAGAAGCACAGTCGAGTCGGTTAGCTTGGCAGACTGGGACGAGGGCTGATCAGCGGGCACATTGGGGCCACGGTAAGCGATGGAAGGGACTTCCTACGCTAAGTTATCGCGGCTGAACAAGATAATCTGGGCAAGTAGTAGCGCACCTTCGTGTACGGGTTGATGATGTCTGTGAACCACTGGGGCTTATTCTGGAGTTCAACGAGGCCTATAACGGGTTGTAAGCCCGCCTCGAAGAAAGCTATCTCGACCTTCAGAATCTTGTTTTAGTTACACCGTAGGTTTGCATCCATGAGACACCTACGCGATGAGCCCACGGGCTTGCCTGACACGTAGTGATCAGCTTCTGTCGCATCAAGTAACGGGGCCGCACGTACTCGGTCTTTGTCGGTGTAGAGGGCAATGTACTCGTTGGACATCGCGCTTGCGGTACCTGGACGGGTCGTCAGATGTTAATCAGTATACTTATAGTAGATGTGTCCTGACGGGGAAGGCATGATTCTAGTTGACTAACCTGAGAAGAAGTCCGAAAATCATCGGCGAACAACCGTGTCCTCCCATGAGCGGCCACGTATGCCGTCGCTTCGAGGGCGCGCTCACGGATCTCCGTCAGTGTGATATACTTCCTGGTGAGTTACGTCACCAATTTGGACAATCGTGTAGACATACTCTATAAGTGGGTGCATCATGAAGTCCGCCAGGTCAAGATGAAGCCTCTGCGAGTGTCTCCATCATCTCCAACGCATCCAAGAAATGCGCTTGCGCACGAAAGCCTTCCCGCAATGACAGGCCCAAGGTTCCGATGGCGCTCTACCTTTGAACGGAGCTATCTGTCCGGTAGAACATGTGCTCTGACGGCCGATCGCGTCGACGTATATGATGCCGTTTGGGGATAGGGATAGTAACAGGCGCTCTCAAGTACCTGGACCGCCTTCAGGATGCGTATGTAGGGCGTCGAGTGATCGTTCGTATGTCCGAGAGCGTTATAAGCCCGGCTAACGTGTAGCGGAGCAGGATGCTGATGTTCCATGGTCGTATTACAGGGCGTCCAGGATGGGACTTGAGAGGAGAGTATCGAATTTAGAACACAATGATCAGGCGCAGCACACCATTCACATGGATCCATGGCATAGCATCTGTCTCGTCGACATACTCGACCGTGCAGCCGAGATGATGGGTGCAAAGGACAACGTGTGCGCTGTCGGCCGCGCGCCGCGTCACATCTAGCCCAGGCTTCTTCCCCACGTCCATCATCGACTCGATGTCTTAATTCACAAATAATAACATTCATGTCTTTGTTGCTCTCAGATCCGATGCGCGAAACGGCGCGACGACTACTCTACATTTACAGTTCGAAACCGACACAGCGACAATCCCATAATCGCCAGTTTCGGCGTCTATTCCCGTACGACTCGCTTCAGTCCGCCCCAACAAGAGGCTTCCGTTCGCCCTTGCGATCAAGGAAATCTCTTCCTCCTATACTCAACGAACCTGGTCTGATGGGGACGGTCAGCCTTGACTCCTGTATCCAATGAGCACGACCCACCTCATCCCAAGTCGATTTCCAGCTGTTTCTCGCCTGGAGATCCCGGAGATACCGCACGAAGCGCGGGAAGCGTTGGCCACCAAACAGCTCCTTGTGCAACTCCAGCCCTACCCCCTTCTCCCACGAGCCCAAGTCTTCACGTAGGATCACCTCCAGTCGTCCTATACCCGGCGCGACACAGGCGTCTGCAATGGACCAATCGCCCACCGCAAATCCCGTCTCAGGCAACAAACTCTGAAACGTCTCGAATGCATCTAGTAATGCTTCTTTCGTTCCTTGGTCCTTGTGAAAGGCGATCCACGAAGCCGTGATCGTGCTCTGAGCGCGCTCGATAAAGAACCGCGCTTTGGCACGCTGGACGGGGTCCGCGGGGAGAAGCTTGGCGGAGGGATAGATGTCAGCGAGAAACTCGAGTATGACTCTCGACTCCGTCAGCTTGACGGATTCGGATGATGGCTGGTCGGCGGGGACGACGGGTCCACCGTAGGCGATGGTGGGGATTTCCTGTATATGGTCATTCGCGGGTGAATGGTGACGGTGGAGTCGCAATCAACATACCTTCGTGAACGGATTGACCAATGTTGTGAACCACTCTGGCTTGTTCTTGAGGTCGACGAGCCCAATCGTAGGCCGTATACCTGTCTCGGCGAGAGCTATCTCGACCTTCATGACGTCATGTCCATAAGTCACAAGCCTTCAAGTGGCGAAATGCTCACCCGTTGAGAGAACGGGCTTGTCTGCGCGCAGACGACTTAGTCGTCTTGGACTACATTACTATTGTAGCGTGCGTACCTGGTCGATATTGGTGTAAAGGGCGATGTACGTGTCTGACATTTCGTGTTGTTCAGGTTTGACTGCGAGCGATGGGCTATATGTAGCCTGTTCGTGACTCGAACTTCTGTGCCGCTGGGGAAGGCCTGATCCGTTGGATCATCCCGCCTGTATTCTTGAGTATCATGACGCTAAGCTTGTAAAGCGAGCTGCGAAGCGTCTACAGTCATTCTTGGGGTTCGTCGGCTTAGGGTGCCCTGCAAGATTTGGCGGAGGTCTGTCAAGTCCTGTGGATGCATCCCCCTTTTACGGTCAAGCCTCGAAATAATGTAATGCAAGAGGTGCGCCATTTGTAAGAGTCCGTCGTGGCAAACTCTGCGCGCCGACGACGAGACGGGTGCCGCTTCGAAGTGACGTTCTCACGCATGCCGAGGTATTCACTCCCATACATCCGACGCAGAACGACTTCGTTCATCCGCCCAAAAACCTGTTGACCGTCGATGCAACTACAATGCTTCCAGAGCATTGGCTATCAGATAGTTGCTAGTGAGTATATCCTACCGAATGCCTACAAAGGCAGCACATTCGGTGCAACGGCGATAGTTCATTCCGCCGTGAGAGTGCCATCATACTTCTTCACACTCGTTGCGCTTCTACGGCTCTCGTATGCTCAAGCAAAACTCACGATGACCTTCTGATCATGGTCGTCACCTAGTGGTATAAAAGTTCATCTCTCTCAAATCAGAGTCATCCCCCATCCACCACTCAACATGACTCCGGAAGCCCAGATGCACAAGCAATTGCTTTACTTGCCACAGTCTACCATCTCACCGCACGACCTATTCTACGCTGCGTCTGAAGACGAAGTCTTCAAATGCTCGACGGCGATCGGTCGCCGCTTTATACGCCAGCGTCGAGCGGACGAGATAGGCGAATGCCTGATCTATACCGACGCGTCGTGCTATCGCAACGGCAGAGAGGATGCTGTCGGCGAATGCATTATTGCGTGTGAGCCCACGCTTCTTTCTCCACGGCGACCCGATGACAACACGTCCTTCATGGATGTAGCGCGACAGGAGAAGGCGACTTTACCGAGCCAGACGGTCTTCGGGCCCAAGCGCTTTGCTCGTCCCAAGAGCTCTCGTGCGAAGTTGTACGCGGCGATCTTGGCAGTGGAAGCGCGCCCGTGGGATCGGGAGGGATGGAAGACCATTGTCATTGCCATCGACATGGAATACGTGGTGATTGGAATCACTACGTTGGTGTGGAAGTGGAAGAAGAACGGATGGCGCAAGTCCAATGGGAAGCCCGTCGCGAATATCGACTTGTGGAAGCGTCTCATCGCCAGCATCGAAGACCTCCAAGCTAGTGGCGTTGCCGTGAAGTTCTGGAAGGTCTCCCGTGTCAAGGGAAACTAGGATTCGATCGTATGTACAGCGTGGGCGAAGGAGAGAAGAAGTCTCAAGTCAAGTCCGTCGTGGCGAATGTTGTGTGTATCGGTTGCTTCCGGATAGCTCAATAGATTCAATTCATGTCCTTCGTATTCGATCGTTCATATAGAAGGCTACTATCTGGTACTACTACAGGACCTTGTGCCTGTTGAAAAATGCACTGACAGTAGAATACATGCGAGGATACCAGTACAGCTGTACATTCTCATTTTGATCAGCTCAAATCCCTTGTGGAGAATGTACTAGTAGACTCCATTGAGCAGTCCGAACTCTACGGAAGGAACGAGGCTTTGGACTGTTGTCCTGAAGGATTGCGATACCATATCGTCCCCCAAACCAAGTGCTCCCGCATCACAGAATGCAAACTTGAGCTCTTCAAGCCCCGTCCCGCTGCAGGCTCGTTCCTTCAACATCATCAAGAAACTGTTCAGCTCGTTCTCATCAAACATTGCGTTTAATAAGGTCAGGGAGCGCAAATGCGGATAGATGGGCTGTTTATCTGTCGCATTCGGACCGAGCGCAGTGCAGGCTAGATATGGGTTGCTCGATAGGCAAAGGTGGCGTATGTTCGGGAAGACTGAGAGCCATTGCTCGTAGCCGACGAAGTCTTCGTCGTCCTTTTCCTCTTCCGGCGTGTGATACTCTTCGAGCGTACCGATCTCCAGTGTCTCCACCTCAGACAGATCGAATATATCGCGAAGGCGATTCATGTAATGGAGGATGTTCTCCATGTTCACCTCACACCAGCTCAGTCGGACATCCAGCACGCGACGATACCCGTGGTACAATGGGCTGAAACGATGATCATCTCTCCCGGGGAGAGAGCTCTCAGCGGTGACATAGAGTCCGAAGAACAAGTCTGACTCCACGGTGCTGGGAAATATTGAGAATCCAGTGACAGTGCGCGCATCGTTGCCATGCATATGGCTAGAGAGCGAGTTTATGAAGTCCCAGGTTATAGACTCGTCATCAGATGCGACATCAGCGACATCCATGAGCACTCGCGCGTCGGATGGGACGGTTATCTGCGACCAGAACCACATGAGGCATTGGGTGTCACCAGCGATGTCGAGGAGGCGTATTTCTGGGAGGGCCACCCGTTTTTCATTCATGGTGAGTACGAGCGGAAACCGCATGTTCTTGAGTTCGAGTGTGCGCACGCTAGCGCAAAGACGCAAGATGCGTAGGAGATATGCCGCCCACATAGGGGACTCTGGTGGCGATACGTCAAGACGTAAGTCACAGAGGTTACTGAGGCTGAGTGGCAAGGGAAGGATGGCGTTCATCATACGCAAGCGTTTAAGGTTAGGCGTGACAAATGGAATGCCAGTTCCCATCGTCGCTCGATCAAAACACCGAATAGTGAGGGATTGGGCATCGACGGTTTCGGGTGTGGTCCGAATAGTGCTCAAGGCTCCATTATCGAAGACGAGATCTTCCAGCAAAGGCAGATGTGCACCTTCAAGATCGTTCAAGACCATCCGTATGACTCGCGCCGATGAGATTTTGATGACGCGAGCCTGCTGAAATCGCGAAGCCACGAATCGGATTGACTCGTCAGGGAAGGTCGTGCGAGTCATCACGGTAGTTAGCGGCGATGAAGCTGCACGCTGAACGAGCTCTCTGACTATTTCTATGTCGTCGAGAGCACATACGACATCGGCCCAAATGTTGTGCATGCCAAGGAGAGTACTGCGCAGCTCGCCACAGATGTGCCCGAGGTAAATAAACGGGATAGGGTGTTTGGAATATGTGTTATAACGATATGAATCGTATAGCGTGCAGAGAGAGAATATCTCTTGGACGGTTTCCCGGGGAAGCCGCAAGAAGGGCGACATGCACTGGTTCATCTGAGGACCAGACCGGACTGAAAGCGGGGTACTCGCGGTCGGCTGCGGCAAGTTCGCAAGGGCTCTATCCGCGATTGATCAACAAAACGGCCGCCGTATAGCAAGGTTGTAGCTTACGACAATAGAATATTCTCTGATCCAGGTCCAGACATCGGGTATGAAGGAGGAAACGAAGGGCTGACGGGACTACGTTCGCCGTTGAGGATAATGGGTGCAGGAGGCAGGTCTTTATTTCCGCAGAATCGACGTCTGCACGCGTCCATCATTCTCACCGCAGCGGCCCACGCTTCGTTTCTCACCACCGGCATCCCCCTGGTGCGGAATGGGATGTCCGAAGAAGAATACTTACCCCCATGGGCCTCCACATACGTGATAGATACTATGGGCGGTGAAGTCTGCTATTGTACCATTCGACCGGATAGGACTTCTACATGATTTATTTGATGACTATATCCGGGCCTATCTGTACTCCATGTTTGCTCAGAAGTGACTGTATAGCCTACTAAGCACTCAAGCTCCACGAAGGTTACCCTCAAGTTCCAAACTCCACCGACGGTACCAGATTCTCCAAGGTGGCTCGCAGCGAGGATAACGTCGACTCCTCCGCCATACCATCCGGTTCCCACGTTCCATCGGAAGCGATCTTGAGCTCCCGTAGCGATAAATCGGCAGATACCCTTCGTCCCACCATCCGCACAACCTCGTCCAGCTCCCCTTCGTCGAGCGATAGATGTAGAATGGCCAACGATTCGAGAGATGGGTATAGGAGGGCAAAGTCTGGCTGATGTTCCTCCTTCGAGTCCCCGTCAGGACCGGATACGGGAAATGGGAAATGGTGAAGGCAAAGGGTGTGCACGTTGGGGAAAGCAGAGAGCCACTGGCTGTAGCGTGTGTCGAAGGGTTCATCGCACTCGTCGACTCTTTCGAGTGTTCCCATCTCTAGCTTTTCCACAGCGGCTAACCCAAATAGGTCACAGAGCCGACTTATATTGTCGTGAAGGCTGTCTATGTCCATGTCACAGACAACTAGGACATCCAGGATGCGCTGATGACCTTGATGAAACGGGCTGAAACGATGTTCGTCCGTCGTCGAGCGCTGCTCTCCCGTGGCCGTGAAAATGATAAGGCGTAGATGATATTGGAATGGGTCGATGACAAAGGAGCAGCCTGACACTGGACGCGCGCCACGGCCCCTGCATACGTGTTCAGAAAGAGCATTGATCGTATCCCAAACAGAGGGCTGCAAGTCAAGATCACCACCGATAGCAACCTCCGGTACTACACTGGAAGGTATGATGATCTGGGACCAAAGCCAAAGTATGCACTCGTTCTCGCCTAGCATGAATAGGTCCTGTAGAGAAGGAAGGGGTATACGGGCTGTAGTTGCGGAGTGAGGGTTGAACATCATGTCGGAGATCTCGAGGGTGTGCAGATTGGGCGACCGACGGAGCATCGCGAGGATGTATGCGGACCACATATCTTCCCCGGACTTCGGCATCTGCAGCCGCAGTTCCACTAGATGGCTGGGGTCGAAGGGTACGACGATATTGAATAGATGAAGGCATTTGAGACACGGAGCGAATATTGGCTCTGGCTCTTTTGTGATGGCTACAAAGCTTTCTTGGGCCACGTCCTGATGGGGCTTCCAATCCATATGAGTTATCCTCACAGTAGATCCAGCATGAACGTATTTGCGATTATCAAGGACAAGCCTCTCGGCGACGGGCAGATGAAGTGATTGCAGTTCGTCCGTCATTCTTGACAGGACTTGCGTAGACGTAATTTCAACGTGACGGGCTTTGGCCAAACAGGACTGCAAGAAATCGATGAAAGCATCTGAAATAGTCTTTGACTCAGAGAACACCAAGATACTCAATGGATTGTCTGCTGCGCGCCGAGCGTATTCTTGTGCAGCGTCCAGACCATGAGGTAGAAATGCCACCTCCGCCCATAGTTGTCGCATAGCCAAGAGCGTCTCTCGTAGTTCGCTGCAGACGTGGCCGAGTTTCAGCCAAGGTATGAGGTAACTTTCACGGTCGTCACTATATCGAGCCGATCCATAGTGGTGAAATCGGCGATAAACTGGAAGGGGAGCGGATAGGTAAAGTATCATTTGAAGTAGCTCCCGAGGTAGCCGTAGAAGGTGGGAACGACGGGCATTGGTCTGACGCGCAGACATGATGAGGGATCCGGGTTGGATGCCTCTGGTGGCACTGTAAACCACACGAAGGGATATGTCAGATCATGTATAGTTCTGGTGAGCAAGGGTTAATTGCGTACGAAGACACAGTGGCCTTGGTCCTTGCAATCTCCATTCGCGCTACGATATGGTCATGCAAAGTCGCCGATGTAGGTAGAGGTCAAGGTGAACGTGGGTGGCAAGGCGCGTCGCGTCGGAACTGCACGCGTCTCGCGGCTTGCGTCTTTCTTTCTCACCGCCAACATGTTGCCAATACCGGACATTTTGCATCGCACACTGGTATACAGTCTTGCGGGAATTTGCGTACTTGGAGTAGGCGCCGGTGTAGCAGTGACCAGGGACACTGTCCGCCGCGGGCGAGGTACGTGTTGTATCCTGTCCGTCTATGCGACGTCACTGAACTCCGTATGCAGAGGTCGGCCCCGATCATGTCAAGCTCAGCATTCATTCGATATTTAACGTTGTTTAGGCCCTTGAGGAGCGCAAAGCGGCAGGCCTATCTATTGAAACTGAACCAGCAGCTGTGCGTCATGCGATGTCCATTCTGTAGTCACCCTGCGCTGACGTTCCTGCAGAAGAAGGCCGTGAACGACGAAGAGAAATGGGCGGAAATGGCGCAGGGTGTTTGGGCACGCACGAATATTGGCAAAAAGAATGCTGCGCCCAAAGCTGTTTGAAACTACATCACTTGTGTGTGAAATCATGCCTTCAGCATGTACGCCACGCTGACTTATTCAAGCAGTTCTGCTATTGTACTTATTAACTCTTAATGCAACCGTATTCTCGTGCTCCGCTACCATTCAGGAGCATCATACATATCATGGAGCATCTCCTCGAAGAAGTACAAGTCTAGCTTCTGCTCTCAGCCACATTCCAAACTTCAACGCCACCTTCACCAGCAATTCCTACGACATCACCCTTCCAGTCGACGCCCAAGATCTTGCGGCCCTCCTTGCCCTCCCACACTTTGAAGCTCGCCATCTCCTTCGCCGCGCTCCTCACATCCCACAGCCGAACCACACCGTCGTAACCTCCGCTCACGAATTGGTGGCTTCCTGCACTCGGCGACACTGCCAATGCGGCAGGTGAAGCAGCATGACTGAAACTCGCGCTGGCAATTTGAGTTGCATCCGCTCTCAAGTCGAACAATGTTACAGTGCGGTCCGTCGAACCCGCAAGCGCCGTTTGGCCGGCGGCACCCTGCAATGCCAGCGCGAGAAACGGCTTTTCAGACGCCGTGACGGTGTGCGTGCATAGTTGGCGCTCGACGTCCCACACGCATACCGTCGAATCGAAGCCCGCGCTCACCGCCTTTTCATCACCGACGAAGTGAACGGCGGAGACGCGTGCAGTATGGCTACGCATGACACCGAGAGGCGCTTTGCGTCTCGGCGCGTCCTCTGCGCCCGCGAGCCGGCGTCGCTTTTTCTGCCGTGCAGGTTGAGGGTCTGCCGGCGTCTCGTCCTTTTCAGGAATGATGGTGTCCCAGAGTCCAATGATGCCGTCCCAAGAGGCTGTCAAGACGTGTGCACCTGTGCTGTCGGCCGAGACGGAGGATACAGGCGCAGTATGTAGGTGGAGTGACGCGAGAACCTGGGTCTCGCCGTTATCTGCGGCCTCCTCTGATGCAGGGGTAATGCGTGTCAGACGGGCAGTCAAGTCCTGGGAGCCCGTCACGAGGAGTGTTGAGTTACTCTCGGACGGCGACGCGGAGGGCTGAGGGACAAGCGAAGCGGAGGTGATGGGGGCGGTATGGATAGGTGCCGTGTGCAATAGCGCCTGCGAATATGAAAACAAGCGGACATTGCCGTCGTAAGAGCCTGTCAAAAAGTGTCTGCACATATATTAGTACTAGAGAGCCGTTACTGCGACAGCATGCGTACCCTGGGAGTTGGCAAGATATCGAGGAAACCCAGTCTTCGTGCGGCAACGCCGTCATCCGCTGTGGCGGCATCACGCTCTCGATGTACTCTATTTGTATAGTCTCTTCCTGCGTGTTTCCTTCAGCATCTCGTTGAGTGAAAACACAGAAACTACGAACTTCGCCGACGCCCTTCTCCGCTATCCATTGCGCCAGGCTTCCTCTCAGAATTTCTCCTCCGACGATAAAGTCAAACGGCACGACGCGCGGCAGGCCAAGCGCCTTGTTCACGAGCTGCGAAAGCTGGTAGCGCTTCCATGATGCCGGTATGAAGAATTTTTGGGCAGGCAGTGGGTAGGGTGTTTGTGTCGTAAAGACTACAGGCAGAGATGGGCCAGAGGTGCCATTGGTAACTGACGCCATAATACGCCGTGTGATACGCGAGTTGATCGCAAGTCAGCTACGCAGGTGGGAGGAAGAGAGTGAGAAGGAATTTGCGAGGCGCGTTTGACGCGGTCACGGGTGCGCGTTCGTCGATGCAGAAACTTGCCTCCGACCATCATCCCTAAATCCCACAGGCATCGATAGCGCCTCGCCGAGCTCTTGAGCGGCAAATGAAGTTGGATTAACTTATCATGGGGTATATTGGCTTTTCGTGTCATTACTGCTGATTGAGACACATAATATGTGCTATGTCAGCATTAGTGTCATCGGATATGGTGTAACGGCTAACATTGCCGCCTCTCATCCGAGAGCTCGCGGCAGCTCGGGGTTCGATTCCCCGTATCCGAATGTATTTTTTGCATCGCAGAAGTCTATTCACTTCATATGTTTGGCTTGTGCTTCAGTTGGGTCTTCCCCCAGGCGACCTCTGCGCGCGACTGGCCATTGACCTGCCATTTATTCATTTCATTCCTTGCTTCTCGAGATCACATTTACCCTCGTACTTTTTTGACGCATGGTATCTCGCCGCGTACGCGTCAATACACATCCAGACGGCACGGCAAGTCATTGCAATCATATATTAAACATTTCAAAGTGATCACATTTTGGGCAGTTTCGACCCCTGCCAGAGGGTCATCATCAGGAACCTTCGAGCTCGTCGCTCTGGCTAGTTCGACCGCAGGAAGGTGGGTTTACCCCACTCAACCTTGGGTGAAGTACTAGAATGATCAGAGGGACACACCAGAAGACGTCCAGTCTTGGAACAAGGGGCAGCGACCTTCCTGTCCCTGCTGGGACCAGAGCAGACGTGCCTATCTCGCGCCTGCGCACAACCCTCGGCTATCGAACGCACAGGAGACTGCCCGTCCCAGAGTGTGTGGCACGCTCGGAGTGACTCACGTAGCGTGCCCTCTGTTGCCTTGCGGACACTGACGACTCGGTGACCGCCACGGCTGGCTCGGCGTTTCCTCCCGGCGATACGGCTGAACGTAGAGTGGTGCGCAGACGCGAAGATAGACAGGTCCTCGCATGTGCAACTCGCACCGGCACCGCGTACAATGACGGCGCGGGTTGCACCAGTCTCTGCGATGCTGCGTCGCCCGACAACATCCGAGGAAGGCTATATGCGCGCGATCCGAATGCTAAAGAGAACTGGAAGGACGTGTCAACTGGAGTGTACGCTGAGAAACGAGGAGCGACGTACCCAGGCCATTTCCCGACACGGCAAGCCACTCCACCTGACCTTCCGGACCAGAGCAGACGAACGGGTCGAGGCGCATATACGGAACCCACGGCTATCGAAAGCACAAGAGGCAGCCCGACCATAGCAGCAAATGGACGTCACGACTGTTGACCCTCTGGCAATACGGCTGAACGTTGAGCGCCCGTACGTTCACCTCGGCCGTTCATGTCCATACGAGGCTCTGTGGCGAACGCGCTGCAGTACGCCGCCCAAGGAAGGAGTGGTCCGCGACCTGAGAAGTACGGCTTTGCACGCTCATCTACGAAGGTCCAGAGAAGGGCATGGCCTGGCATCTGGAGGGCACGCAGGGGCGGGGAGGGGCAGTCTTTTATACCTGGAATAGCCACTACGGCTCTCGCTGGACCCACCGCCTCACAGCTTCCAAACCTGGTGTTGGCGTAGCGCGCCCACTTTCTCACGATTGAGGGGTTCTCACAGTCGATTCTCACAACGTCAGCGTTCGTGAGAACGGATAGGACACAAAGCAGGAGAACAAAAGGGATCGAGTCTGATGAAAGCTTGTTGTGGCCCGGGTGCGGGCCGGTCAATACGTGTTGCACACGAGCCAAGTATGAACCAAAATGTCAGACCTTCAGGCGTTCCATTCCAGTCCTGTCAGGGCTAAAACGACTGGTTCATTCGTTCCGTGACGGGCGGCAGGGAGCCCATCACTCAGGCCGCAAAGGCGCCTTTCAGGCTGGGTGAGATGGACTGCCATAAGGAAACTTGAGGGATATCGTCAATGATACAGGATGGATTCATTATGCAAGAAGTTAGATCATGTCGCGGGAGTAGCGAAGCAGCGACGCGGATGTACGAGTCGAGGCGCATACGCGGCGTCCGTCGCTCAAAGAGCCTTTTGTGATGCGGATACCGAGAGGCTACGATGCTGCGTGTCAAGGGTAGTCCAGTCTGGTAATTTGAGAAGAAGAATCGTGATATGGTGGTAGAGAAAAGAGACGAATTATCCGAACGCTGCACAGCGCGTCCGTCGTCGGCGCCTGCCGGCCGAGAGGCGCGCCAGTGAGGCGCGCGGAGCGCCTGAGAGAAGCTCCCCGCGAACCATCATCAGCGCTCATACATCGTGCATTCTGCTGCACTCTATATCCTTAACTTCGGGTTGCCCATATCTGCACAGTGAATGTCGTGCTGCGTGAAGACAGGACCGGCAGATGGGAAACAACTCGCGACGGTGGCCCAGTCGAAGCAGCCAGCTTGCGCTGCAGAACGCAATTCATGATATATGCAGTCTCAGCCACAATAAGGATTAGACGGGACTATGACAATGGCTGTATTGAACGGGTCCGCAAGATCTGGGGCTCACAACGCTGGAACACGTAGCAACATGGATGCGGCCAAAGTAGTTACATACTATCAGTTCTGTTTTATTGATCCAGAGCTAACGAGTTGCAGGTCTTCAGTCCCGCCAACAGTACAAGAACCCCCGATAGACTGGTACTCATGCGGTCTCGTGGGGACGAACCACTAGCTTGATGCCGCTGACGCCCTTCACGACCCTCTGCAAGGCCTCGCGCACACCTTCCAGCCCTCCGGCTACCACCTCGACAGTGTTAGGCTACGGGCGTTGTTGTTAATAACGATTGCCGGTTTGCGGCGTTACGATATACGACTCGCCTTGATATGGCCATCACGAAGAAGACCTGGAAGCGCCTTATACATTCCCGTCGTGAACTCGCGCTTGGGCTCGTTGTTCGCATTTCCCCCGGCCATCACAATGAGCTTGTCATCAGCGTTACGCCTGTTCAAGGTGCCGACCTGCGATGGGCCCGTAACGATCATACCACCACCTGGTGCTAGCAAGGCCAACGCAGCCGGTTGCGAATCAGGCGTCGATACAGCGTCGTAAACGACCTCGACGGGCTCGTTCGTGATATCCGCGACAGCTCGGCCGAGCTCTGTGTATGGGACGGCACGGTAGTCGATGACGTGGGTTGCGCCTGCGAGCTTGCAGTAAGCAGTGTTGTGCGCGGACGCCGTGGTGATGATAGGCGAGAAGCCGGACAGCTTCGCGAGTTGAAGCACTGGACACAAGGCGTCACGGTCAGCATTCCTCGTGCACTCTTGCAGAAGATGATTTACCAAATTGTCCGACAGAGCTCGAGCCTCCAAATACAACGATTGGCTGGCCAGAGTATTTCCCAAGCCCGCCTTCCTTCCATGGAGGCGTGAGCTCGAGACTACCCCCTGGAACGTTTGGAGTATCGGTGGCGCGCGAGTACATCGGGATTGACGCTGTGCCGAGACCTAATGGAATAGTGGCGGCTTCATCGAAGGACATGCCTTCGGGTATCTGTGCAGAGTGAGTGGCATTGCTGAACCCGATGAGTCTGCCACTAACCTTGCATGTACGCCCAGCGAAGGCGAGCGCATACTGTTGGAGCGTGCCGTGGTCCGGATACCACCAACCGTGGAAGAACCTGCTAATGGTAAGCCTCTATCGCGCTCGGCACCGGGAAAGACTGACACTCTGTCTCCTTCCTTCCAGTCTTCCACGTCTTCGCCAACGGCTTCAATGACACCGGCACCGTCGCTCGAATGTTGTCAAGACGGTGACTAGTGAAATCAGACTTGCCGCGAGCTTACCTGCCCGGTACGGCTGGGAAGCCACCCCCTCGGTCAACAAGGTATCCCAAGCGACGAATGTAGTCGTCGACTGGATTCAATGCGGCCGCGAGAACCTTGACGAGGAGTTGGCCAGGGCCGGGAGTGGAAACAGGGCGCGTGTCGAGGATGAACTCGCCAGCGTCTTTGGTGGTGAGGATGAGGGCTTTGTTGGTGAGTGACATGTCGTGCAGTGCTGGATTCGATTGCTGACGACTGATACAGAGTCGCAGTCCTTATATACGTACACCCTCCCGATCCATACGTTTATGAATGTATAGGGGCATACCGCATCAGGAAGGCAGAGCGGGTTTGCCGCGTCCCAATCGCGGGTCACTCCGTTTGGTGCCCTGGAAGAACGTTGTCATCTATTTCACGAAAGAAGCCAGATCCGCAACCAGCGAGTACGTCGAGTCAAACTCTAGATTGGATGACGCCTCTATCCCAAGTGTTATAGCTTCAGCATGATTAATATCTGTGGCCCCCGCGCCGGGCATGCTGACGCAAGACAGATGACGTGTGACCAGCGTTCTGGCTGGCCATCGTACTTTCAACTTGAAGAACAGCATTTGGCGTTTATCTTGGCCTATCACCCTCCCTTTATACATGTGCATGGCTCATACGACATTGTGGTCATCAACGGTACATGGTTTTCACAACATGACACGACGACAGACTTCCCCACCGGCCCCTATTCACACTCGGTTTATATCCTGCCTTCACGGTCAGATTAAGAGCAAGAGCAGGCCTTATTCTCGCGCGCACAAGCGCAGCTCTGGCTTTCACCTTTGCAGGTGCACTTGCATGTGTATTAGCTTCTGACCATATACACAAACCTAATGACGTACCGAAGAAGAGTGGGCCTTGTTGGGACAGTTCGCGCATTGGCACGAACCGGCCTGGCATGTACAGCCAGAGCCGCTGCTTGCGGAAGGGCCGCACGAGCTGAACACCCTGTGAGATTGCACACCATCTTGGATCATGAGACAGGCATACCTGCAAGTGGTGCCACAGCTACAGTTGTCAGACATTATTCGGTCGATTGATGGAAGCTGGGTGGTAGGAGATAGTAGACGATGGAGAGTAGATGCCGCTTATATATGACTGTCTCAGGCGTGACGTCGTCTAGTTGTCAGCGGTATGCACAGGTGCGATGCGACACCTGAGGCAATTTCTGGACGGCCAGGCGCCAATCAAGCGCCAATCAGGCGCGCCTCGCGTGGCCTCGCGCGACGCGTCGACGCGACGCGCGCCTGCGGGTTTTGTGCCCAACCACTGGTTGGTTCTCGCCATCACTCGCCTCTGTCAGCTTGCCATTCCGCTCAGGCCCAGAGTCCACCACATTATCAATCTCTCCCTCCGATATGCTACGCGCTGGCCAAAGCAAGGGCGATATCGGGTCTGTGCCGACGGAGGTTATTCTCCAGGTCTTTGCAGATCGAGTCATGGTACTCGTCACCCAGTTGGGCAAAGTCGGCGCACTCGTGAGACCAAATGTCAATGCTGTGGTCGAGGAGATTCACTGACTTGATCGACCGCAGATACAAGCCAGCCTCCCGGCCAATTCTTCTTTTGACGACCTCGTTCGGGACGCCGTCGATGAGCTCGGTGAACCTGCGCAAGATTCAGGTTACCCATCACTTCCCCCGCCGCCTGCATCCATTACGTTAATGCCTGTGCTGGGTGCATCGGGTGATCAGCCGCTTCTGTCGCTATACGCGTCGCAGATCGCCACACTCGTCTGGGCCGCTGAAAGTGGGCCACTAGGCGCAGGAGCGTCGCGGCCTGTTATCGTAGGGTTGGCACTCAAGGGAGGAGGGACAGAGGATCCAAAAGAATTCCGCGGAATCATGAGTCTTGTACGCGAGGTATTACAACGCGAATGAAGACCCATGATGGACGCTTGATACGGACACTCCATACTTTTCCTTCTACGGCCGACGCCGATCTTCATGAGCGAGGAAATCTCTTCTTCATGTTCTGAAGATAGCTGGTCTAGACGGAACGGACATATCAACATCAGCCCCCACCAACCATGATGCAGGTTCTTACCTCGTCAAAAGTCTCCTTCCAACTCCTCCGTTCCTTGCACTCGCGCCAGTACCTAGCCAGCCGCGGGGAACGGTGTCCCTTGAAGACCGCTTCATATGCTGCCAGCCCTTCGCCACTGTCCCAAGCGCCCGTATCCTCGCGCAATACGACCTCGGCCCGCCCAATGAATGGCGCGACAGCCGCGTCCGCGATTGACCAACTACCGGCTACGAACCCCCCCTCCGGCAATAGGCTTTCGATGGTATCCAGTACACCGAGGAATGGCGCCAATGATCCGTCACGTTGTGGGAAGTCCTCCCACGCAGGCTCGAGCAAGGTGTTCACCTTCCCTACGAAGAAACGCGCCTGAGCGCGTTGTACGGGATCCTTGGGAAGGAGGTCGGCTTGAGGATAGAGGTCGGCGAGGAACTCTAGAAGGACCACAGATTGGGTCAGCTTGGCTGATTCGCTCGACGGCTGATCGGTTGGAACATGAGGGCCACCATACACGATCGCGGGAACTTGCTGAATGAACAGGGTTTGAGCAGATGGTTTGACAGATATTGGTCATGGTGTACCTTTGTGGACGGGTTGACTACGGACGTGAACCATTCGGGTTTCTCCTGTAGAGAGATCATGCACACTAAAGGCTGAACTCCCGCCTCCGCGAAAGCGATCTCCACCTTTTACAGACATGTCAGCGTGATGCGCTTTGCTCATCCCCATTCTCTTCGTACTCGGTGGGCCCAAGGGCTAGTCTAAGGACGTGGCTGTGTGAGGAGCGGCGATTTTCGGCAAGATGGGCTGGTTTCTCGACACCTTATCCGTGTTCGTATATAAGACAATGTATTCTTCTGACATGGTTGAGGCAGGCAGATCGAATTCCTCTATACAGGCGGCGAACCTATTTGTACTTGCGCGGCGCTGCCTCGTGTCTTGCGATGGCGCGCGAATCAGAAAGTGCATGACCGCATTGCGACAGCGGGCTTGCTGACTACGCAAACCCAGTTGTCTATCGCATGCGCGTGAACCAATAGTATAAGCGAGGCCTATTCCATATCAAGAAGAAAGACACGGCGATGGTGATGGTTGACAATCGTCATGGAAGTGTCTCCCTCTTCTCAGGGCGTTCTACGGACACTGTTACGAACGGGCAAACCTCTTCTTCATGATCTCAATGTACCCGGCCTATTCGAAACAATCAGCTTAGGACGTCACGTACGAGAGTGACAACGTCACCTCATTGAAGGTCTTCTTCCAGCTGTCCCTCGCCTGGATGTCCCGCCAGTACTGGACGATGCGCGCAAACCGCTCTCCTTCGAACACCTCCTTGTACGTGACCGGCCCCTCGCCTGCCGCCCACGCCCCCGTATCCGCACGCAGTGTCGCCTCTGCCCTTCCCAGAATGGGTGCGATAGAGGCCTCTGCGATCGACCATTCGCCAACAGCAAAACCCGACTCTGGGAGCAAACTCTGCACGGCCTCGAGTCCGGCGATAAACGCGTCCTTCGAGCCTTTCAGCCACTGATACGCTCCCCAGGCGGGCTTCAGCGTGCTGTTGCTCTTCTCGATGAAGAAGCGCGCTTTCGCGCGTTGGACGGAATCCTTCGGGAGAAGGCCGGCTTCGGGATAGATGTCTGCAAGGAACTCGAGGAGAACGTTAGACTCGGTCAGCTTCACAGACTCTTGCGAAGGCTGATCTGCTGGGACTCTCGGTCCGCCATAGACAATGGCGGGGACTTGCTGCACACAGGCGATGGCCGGTAAGCATCATGCGATCAGTTTTGGAATCGCGTGTGGCGCACCTTGGTCATGGGGTTCACTACAGACGTGAACCACTCAGGTTTGTCTTGCAGAGATATGATCCCCACTTCGGGCTCGACACCTGCTTCGATGAAGGCGATCTCTACCTTCGAATCGACGTATCAACGCACAGATCATTAGCGCAGAGTCAATATAGTCACACGATGTGCCCATGCACTGGTCTGTTACTTCTATCAGTTGTTGACGAGAGGGTACGCGAGCAGAGGCGTACCTTGTTCGTATTGGTGTAGAAAGCGATGTACTCGTTGGACATGTTGCACTTTGGACTGGGGATGGGCACGGCTTTCATGGTGGCTGCGCCGAGCCTATTTGTACCAATACGATAAGGCACAGATACTTGTGATCACATGCATGCTGACTATGGGCGCTCTGGTATACACGAGGTATCTATACGTGGGAGAAAGCATAGCATGGGAGGGAGATGATGGCTGTTTGAGCCAACTACCATGATTACCCACGGCTTCGGAGAGAGCGCTGTCTTGAATCCCCGTTCGTAACGATATGCTCCGACGTCAGAGTGATTGCTACTCATATTCATTGCATCTGAACCGGCACTGAAGCATGAAGCGCAATGATTCATTTGTTTTTCACTGAGAGTACGTTCACGAACACCCAGCACGTGAATGAGCTACAGCAGGATCGAGGCTCACGAACGCCCGAATCTCCTCTTCATGACCTCGATATAACCGGCCTAGTACGTGGGATCTGGTCAGTGCACTGAGTCGAGTCACAGTGCATGTCATGCTCACCTCGTTGAATGACTTCTTCCAGCTCTCCCTCGCCTGATTGTCACGCCAGTACTTCACCAAACGTGCGAACTTCTGACCCTCGAAGACCTCCTTGTATGTTGCCGGCCCCTCACCCGCTGCCCACGAGCCTATATCCTCACGCAGCGCTACCTCCACCCGACCAAGGATAGGCGCAACTGATGCATCCGCGATCGACCACTCTCCGATCGCGAAACCGGACTGGGGAAGCAGCGCCTGCACAGCCTCGAGCGCGGTGAGGAACGCGTCCTTAGGACCCTTGCGCGCCTGGAACTCAGACCACGCCGGCTTGAGCGTGCTGTTCACCTTCTCGATGAAGAAGCGGGCCTTGGCGCGCTGCACGGGATCCTTTGGGAGGAGATTGGCGGATGGGTAAATGTCGGCGAGGAACTCGAGAAGGACGATGGACTCGGTAAGCTTGACCGATTCCTGCGACGGCTGGTCAGCGGGGACCTTGGGTCCACCATAGGCAATGGCTGGGATTTGCTGTGTGAAGTGGTCAGAGACCCAGCAGAGACCGACAGGGGCCACAAGTGACGCACCTTCGTGACCGGGTTGACGACAGAGGTAAACCACTCGGGTTTGTCCTGCAGCGAGATGATGCCTACAGCAGGCTCGACGCCTGCCTCGGCAAAGGCGATCTCAACCTACGAGGCTACGTTTTAGTGGATGCCCTTCTTGAATCGGATCGATGATGCACGCACGCGATGAGCCCAAGGGCTGGTCTAGATAACGGTATTAAATCAGCCGCGATTCATGAAACACGGTAGATCGAGCGCACCTTGTTGGTATTGGTGTAGAAGGCGATGTACTCGTTGGACATGTTGCTGATCGATGCTTCCCCCAGAGTCGAGCGGGTTCAACTATTTGTACCCTCACCGTGAGGCACGCTTCCCCGCATTGCGATATCTCGCGAAACGGGCCGATCGCACGAAATCCTTGCGATATCATGAGGACGACATGGAAGCCACGCTGACTGTGCGTGCGCACAAAGGCAGTACGTATGCGGGAAGCATGGGAGCAGTTTCTAGCGGGAGAAGCACTAGGACAGCGCAAGGACGACTTGAACATCCACGCGCCTCTTCGCGAAGCGCGCAGGGTTCAACTCGAACATAGGCCTGTGCATCATCATGCTGATCTGCAGGTCCAAACCTAGTTTGCAAGCACGCCATGTCCAGAGATGATGACGCCATGTACTTGTCCGGCAGTACCGAGACCTGTCAAGATATGATACATTGCAAGATGGGCGTCTGTTCTACAGAGAAATATGTCTTGTCGCGTGCACCGACTCACGCGTCCGCCCAGCGTTGCACAACGACACTATTCTTCAGCCCCGCAGCCTCGATACTCTGCTTATCGTCTTCGAGTGTGCGGTTGGGGAACGTCGTGCCGATAGTGTATGCGCGTGCAGTCATGCCCGGGCGGCTGGCATTGATGAAGTTGCGCAAGTCGCCGACGGTGTGGGTGAGGTTGACGCGCGCCACGATCCGCGTACCATCCGCCAGTCGAACCTGTACACTTGTCGTAGGTTTTGACTGATCGACTTCAAAGCGAGTGTTCATGCTCTCCGGCTCGCGAGTCGCAGGCGGGCTTGAGCTCGAGCCAGGGAAAGAACCCGGCATCGGAGCTGACGAAGACGCTACATCTGGTGCAGGTGCACCGAGACGGTTGCCGGATCCTGAGAAGTGCGCAGCAGGACCTGTGCGCTGGGGAGGTTGGTAATCCTCGTTCGTGCGCTTTGCGATCACGAGCTGGACTGGTTGGTTGTAGCGCACGTTCATGATAGAAGGCGGAGCGCGTCTAAGAACGTAATTAGCATCTTTACTTGCCATAACTCTTGAGAAAAACCAACCCAGCGTGGATCTGCTCGAGGATATGCTGGTTTTCGGGGTCGTCATAGCGCATCAGCGGGCCATCCTCGACGCTGAAGCCTTCGCGCCACAGGTGCAAGTGGCGCACGGCCTCCTCTGTCAGAAGCATCAGGATACTCTCGCATCATTAGATACGAGCGTGAGTGACCTTCTTCGGGCTCCTCGGAGGCATTCGGATCGGGAATGTATCGACTCTCAACTTCATCGGAGCCAAGTGCATGCCCACCGCCAGAGAAGTATTGTGGACCACGAGGCTCGGGTGGGTTGTACACGCCGCCGCTACCGCAACATTCAGATAGGCTCCCGTAGCATATGATCAATTCTGGCTGACCGTTGTGCTTGCTCGAGCAAGTTGCGCACCAAGCCTCCCGGACCACCACCCTGATCTGGGTTCGTGATCGCAACACCACTGCGAAACTACAGATCAGAATACGACATTTACGAGAAGTTATATTTATGAGAGCGTACCTGCGCTCGCCACCGGCGAAATATTCTTCTGGGCGACGTTCATCTTCCTCGTCATCGTCGTCATCGTGCGAATGAGGAGGAGGGGGACCAGCAGGGCCTCCGCCGCCGCCAGATACAAGATCTCTGAATGTAGCAATACGTGCACCGCTTCCAGACCTGAACAAATCTGTCACCGATCACGATCGCATTTACTAGAGAAATAAGACATACCTGGAGTTTGAGCCGGAGCCACCAGCGTTGTTCCAGTCTCCGACACGACCGACGCGTGGGCGATTAGAGTTGCTACCCCAGCCTTCAGGCATGGGCTCTGCCGCGCCTCCTCCAAGAGTATTTCCGGACATGATGCTAGCTCACGGGCGTGATGGTTCTGTGCAAGCGAGGTGCGCTGACTTGCTCGAACGCGCGTACTCTGATAGCGTGGGAGTAATGGGCACGCGCGGCCAATCACACGGCGCATGGCTTGTTCGCTCTTGCTTTCGTCCTCCACGTCCGTACAATCTAGGGCGCGTACGCTCTCTGTGACCGATAATATAGCTATTGCACGGCCGGATGTGCTATACACACTCATGTCGGCCTGTCGGCTCAGATAGGTCCCGCCCGGCCCCGTTGCAGGCTTTCTCGTTAGGGTGCTCCGCGCTAGGGATGTCTGCAGACTCCTTGTGTGATCGGTATCTATCTCCTTCGAGTATGGTCCGTAGAAGGTCTCCGAAGTGCCAGCTCACAGGATTTGCTCAATATCTGTCGTACTCGGGTTTGCACTCTTCAGCTATCTTGCATCAGCGTCGCAAATGCACCGGCGGACGCGTTTTTATGTTCTCGCGAAGTTTCAGCGAGAAGGGTACGATACCGCGACGCGATTGATATCTCTCTGTTTTCGGAAGGATTGGTGCATTCGCGAAATCTGTGCTTCTGCGCACTGCAATACTGACGAGTTGGAGACGCCACTCTGGAGGCGAGCGAACCTGTAAAGTGTCGAAGATGATTTCATCCTATCATGTCCTGGCATACATCTATGTATACGCTCTACTGTGCCGCTTACAAGCGAATACGTGCACTCTGACGCGCCGGGATCGACGGACAGCTGACTTGGAAAGCGCAGAACGGAGCTCGGTCGGTCCTTGCGGCGTTCCTGCGTAAACGCCAAGATGTTGCGGTCGTTCCCCGACATTCCGGGGCTCACCGACGTGGCACTCTGCGCAAATCCTTTGCTTCACGCAATGGCCGAGGGCATCTGAGCGGCGGGGAAAGAGAAGGATGCCCGGTGTATGAGTGTAGGATAGGATTCGTATGTTGCAGTAGTAGATGCGTTGCACTCAGAACCGCTACAAATACTGTCACGATACTCAGCGAGAAAGTTCTCGCCACTGCCGGAGATGTCGACTCGCGTATGAAATGCGGGGTTGCGTTACGGAGCCGGTCTCCGGCAGGCTTGTGGGCGGTGGAATTACGATGTGACGGACGGCGGATAACTCATGCGCGCGAGACGATTGGCTGTTGGGAGCGTTGCGCATGATAAAATGACCGGGACGTTCCGACGAACAACTTGCCTCTCCTCCTCCACCACCACTCTGCCTCCTTCTCTTCTACCCGTGCGCCGTCGCCGGTAGTCGTAGGCACACATTATGTTTGCGCAATCCGCCAAAGCGTCCATTCGCGGCCTTGCCGCCGCGGGCAAGAAGGGTCTTGCGACCGCCGTTGACGGCCGCATCGGCGACACCAAGGTCGCAATGTCCCTCCTGGAGAAGGACAGGTTTATCAACTACCAGCGCATCGAGGACAACCTCCAGATTGTCCGCCAACGGTAAGTTTATAAATAATCGTCACCGAGCTCGCCGACTAAGACATTCGCGTTTCCCCGCAGACTCAACCGCCCCCTCACGTACTCCGAGAAGATTGTTTACGGCCACCTTGACGACCCCCAGAACCAGGATATTGTCCGCGGCGTCAGCTACCTCAAGCTGCGCCCAGACGTGCGTTGTGCCTGTCTTATCTTGTCTGTTGCGCCCTCTGACGTCCGTTTCTCCACAGCGTGTCGCCTGCCAGGATGCCACTGCTCAGGTGAGCTAAATGTCCAAACTATACTATAATATTTGCGTACGAAGCGCGAACATAAGCAAAAGGAGTTGGGAGGGTGCGGGGGATGGATAAGCGCATGCGGGGCGTCGGCCGGGAAAGCACCGACGAATGGCGCATGTCGCGTACTGCGGCTTGCAGCATAGTGCGGCGGATTGTGTCATGTTCCGTGCCCCTCGCGCGCGCGGCGTCGGCTTGATTTCCAACCGGCGGCTCGTCGACGACGCGCGCTGGTTCGCTCCCGGTCCGGTCCGATGATCCCGGCGCTCGACGCGGCGCGCCCTTCCCTTCTTCGCGTTTGACAGGAAATGTCAGGAGAATGATTTGCTGACTCCATATGTATAGATGGCTCTCCTCCAGTTCATGTCTGCTGGCATGGACACTGCCGCTGTCCCCACCACCGTCCACTGTGACCACTTGATTGAGGCTCAGGTTGGCGGTGTGAAGGATCTGGCCCGCGCGAAGGAGCTGAACAAGGAGGTTTACGACTTCCTTGCCACCGCAACAGCCAAGGTTTGCAGTCAATCCCTTGCTCGTATGACGCCCATACTGACTCGACTCTCAGTACGGCCTTGGCTTCTGGCGGCCTGGCTCTGGTATTATTCACCAGATCATTCTCGAGAACTACGCGTTCCCGGGTGGTCTTATGATTGGTACCGACTCGCACACCCCCAACGCCGGTGGTCTCGGTATGATCGCTTGCGGTGTCGGTGGTGCCGACGCTGTCGACGTTATGGCCGACATTCCCTGGGAGCTCAAGTGCCCCAAGGTTATCGGTGTTAACCTGACCGGCAAGATCGGCGGCTGGACGACGCCCAAGGACGTCATCCTCAAGGTCGCTGGCATCCTCACCGTCAAGGGTGGTACCGGCGCTATCGTCGAGTACACTGGCCCTGGTGTCGAGTCGCTCTCTTGCACGGGTATGGCCACCATCTGCAACATGGGTGCTGAGATCGGCGCGACGACCTCCGTCTTCCCCTTCAACCACCGCATGACCGACTACCTCAACGCCACCGGTCGCTCGGAGATTGGCAAGTACGCCCAGAAGTTCCAGCATAACCTTGTGGCGGACGAGGGCGCCGAGTACGACGAGAGGATCGAGATTGTTAGTGACGTTTCAATTCTGACGCCGAGTGCGTTTCGCTGACGTCATTCTTTCAGAACCTCTCCGAGCTTGAGCCTCACATCAACGGTCCCTTCACGCCTGATCTTGCTACGCCGCTCTCCAAGTTCAAGGATGAGGTTGTCAAGAACGGATGGCCGGAGGAGCTCAAGGTCGCGCTCATCGGCTCGTGCACGAACTCGTCCTACGAGGACATGACCCGCTCCGCGAACATCGCGAAGCAGGCCGCTGACCACGGCATCGACCTCAAGTCGCGCTTCACGATCACGCCCGGTTCCGAGCAGGTTCGTGCGACCATCGCCCGTGACGGCCTCGTCGAGACCTTCGAGTCGGCTGGCGGTATCGTTCTTGCCAATGCTTGCGGCCCTTGCATTGGTCAATGGGACCGTCAGGACGTGAAGAAGGGTGTCAAGAACTCCAGTGCGTTGTCGCAATGTGTGGTTCCATTCTACTGCATTTACTGACATGCGCTCACAGTCATCACCTCCTACAACCGTAACTTCACTGGCCGTAACGACGCCAACCCGGCAACACACGCTTTCGTCGCGTCGCCTGATGTCGTCACTGCCATGGCGTTCGCCGGTGACCTCAAGTTCAACCCGATGACGGATGAGCTCGTTGGCTCTGACGGCAAGCCCTTCAAGTTCGAGAGTCCGAGTGGCTTCGAGCTCCCTCCCCGCGGTTACGACCCGGGAGAGAACACCTTCCAGGCGCCGCCCCAGGACCGTGCCGCTGTCCAGGTCGCCGTTGACCCCAAGTCGGACCGCCTCCAATTGCTCAAGCCCTTCACTCCCTGGGACGGCAAGACCCCCGAGAACCTGCCCATCCTCATCAAGGTCCAGGGCAAGTGCACGACCGACCACATCTCCGCTGGTGGCCCGTGGCTCAAGTACCGTGGCCACCTCGAGAACATCTCGCAGAACTGCTTGATCGGCGCGATCAACTCGGAGAACGGTGAGGCCAACAAGGTCAAGAACCAGGAGACTGGCGAGTACGGCTCTGTCCCCGCCACTGCCGCATGGTACCGCGAGAAGGG